CACTCTTGGTTATCAAACTGCCGGACCTCTGTTAGGCTTTCTACTCCCACATGCTTCGTCTACTCTTGCTTGCTGGGATGTCTGATTTTGCTAAATGTTCCCCGAGCCTGCGTAGAAAGCAGCAGGGCAACCAGAAGGCGCCCTGGGACGGAAAGGAGGCTTCGACTGCAGAGCTACTTGCGTTGAGAGCTGCCTGATTTGGGACTGACGAGGATCCCCCGAGGCTATTCTTCCCTGGCATCGGCCTCCAACGATCTGCATTGCTCTCGGATTCCGCGGAGCCTGCCAAAGACGAAAGGCCCGGGTCGGACGGCAAACTGTCGGGTCCCGCAAGCAGCAAGCCAAACCGGATCCTTGCAATCTTAACAGACTTTGAGTTCCCTCTACCGCGCGGGCTGTCAAGTGGCAGGGCGTAGCATCACCGAACCTTCCCAAAATCCTAGCCCTCAAACGAGAAAGCCACTGCACGTGCCTGTTTTCAGGCTCGCTGCGGCTGCAAGCCCATGAAAAAAGCCAAGAAAAAGCCAGCATGCACAGGTTTACCAAGTGCTCACACACTCTGCACAAAGCAAGACATCCTGTCACCATCATCGGCTATGGCGCCACTATACTGTAGAGGGTTCGGGTTGCCAGTTTAGGATTTCTGGGACGACAAGGCCACAGCGCCATCGCGAGACTGTTTTCCTCTCGGTCTCGCAGCGAAGACCCACGTTGGCATCCCATTTCGCCTGCTTGCAATCCTCCGCAGCTCCCTTGACTGGCTGGAAGACAGCGGCTAACAATGTGATATACTACATAATCATAATATGTGATGTTTAATATCTGACAGCGGGTAGTGTTCAATATGTACTGTATTACTGTAGAGTCGAAGAAAGACTTTAGTCTCAACAGTGCTGGTGGAAGCAGCAGTGCGAAAAAGACAAGGAGAATAATACGAATCGCTGTCTCGTGAAAGGTGGTTGCCGTGACATGGACAAAGAACTTTGACAACAACCGCACAAGTAGCAGACAAAAACCGCTGGCAAGAAGCAAAAGCATAAACGCATCTGCAACGAAGCAACAACAGCAGTGTCGATAGCAAGGCATGATGATGATGATGACTAAGACCAGTGATAACACTCCTAAGATGATTTCGACGGCGATGAACCAGGTAGACCATAGTTTTGTCCAGAACAGAACTATGACCGCCACTACAACTCTGCCATACTGCGAATGTAGGACTCAAGCAAACAGCAATAAGAAAGGCTCTGCTTGCTGGATGATAGCAAGAAGGAACAACGTCAGAGAACCGAGAAGAATGATAAACACGACAAGATTACCAAACAACACTTGCATGAGCTTCTGAATGGAAAACAGAAGGAGTGATAAGTGATAAGAAGCATGACGACGGCGAAAAAACACACCCGCCGCCATGTCACAATGACGTCGATAACTCGAATAATGAATGGAATTGGTTTCATCAGACGTACACAGCCGTCGTCACCGGAGTGCGGAGGAGTTGGCACCAAATTTAGCATGGGCGGAGCACATCAGGTGACCAACCATAGCCATGTCAGCGTTGGTTCACGCTAACTCATGGCATGCAGCGTGCAGTCATCGAGCCACTGGCAGTCGAGGAAAATTCAGTGGAACTACGGCGTGGCGTCAAAGCTACAAGAGAAAACAGATTCAGGAGCTGCCTTGCGGTGTAGTGCGTTTGAAGCAGGCTTGTGAGCATGAGGATGCAGAACGATACATGGACAGCTACCTGAAGAGCTCCACAACAGAATGGACAACGTATCCCGCAAAAAAGGAGTTGGCAGCTCCTGTGCTTGTGGTGCAAAGCTCCCCAAGGACTTCTGTCCAGCGAAAGCCACGAAAACTCAGCAAGGCTGGCAATTGTGCTTTACTGGTGTCTGAGGCAGCCTTGTTAAAAAAATAATCAGCAGATGTGATGGTGCAATTGCCCCTGTCTGCGATTTGCGACAGTGGCAGCTGCTGCAAACGAAAGCACACAAAAAAACAGATGTTTTCGCCAGTTTAAGCACTCAGCCAGCCGCCGTAGGCGGCATTTCTTCGCCAGCAGGTTCGCCACCGCACTGACCTCTTCTCCCAACCAAAGGCAGTGTTCAGGACATACTGCCTCGACCTCAGGCATGAAAAAATGCAACTGCTCTTGAGCAGCGGTGTTCTTGTGTTGCTCTCTTTCTTAATTACTGGATCAATCATTAACATCATCATGTTCACCATCTTGCCAAGGCTACTATCACTCTTTTGTCGATGATCATGGATATGAGAAACCTCGCTGATCTTATCTTCACCGCCATTGCTGTCAGTGGTATCCAAATTAACCTTGTGTTGAGCATCATGATTACCATTGCAATGAACACTGCTGTCAATGCGACGAACAGTCCCGCGATTCTGCATACTTGTATCACCATTCTACCTACTTCCCACAGTCGAAATCAGAACAACTGACAGCATAACAGCACCTTCAGCTTCAGCAAAAACCATTGTCACAAATCTCGACAGCAACCATCGCCATGGAAATAGGCAGCGTCATCTTTCTCTTCGGTGGCGGCACGATCCTCATCCTCGAACTCATCATGACAGCCATCTTCATCAACGCTCCAGCACCGCCACCACCGCAAGCACGGCACCAGCTGCACCACCATCGCCATCACAATCACCTTCATCGTCATAATAGCAACTTCTTGGTACAAACAGGATCAAACAGGTGCAGTCAGACATGAAATGCATTTGTGCACACACACACACAATTCAGCCAAGCTTCGCTTGTAGGGCGTCGTGTACGGCCACTTGTTCGTGTATCCGTGTTGTCGCTCTTCCAGCATGATAAAAACGCCTGGAGCTAACAATGACTCAAATAGGAGGAACTAACCGATGACCTCGCAATGCGAGTCCGAAGGTCAACACTCTGTGAGGCTTCGGATGCATGGGTCTTGACGGGTGTGTCGGCAGGCATTCGCTCGTGTAAGTAAGACTCTCAGACCCTGCCGTGAATGAAAGCCCAATTACAGCCGTTTGCCCAAGAGGTTCCGGTTCCGCTGTGCCGGCACACCCGCCAAACGGAAACGACCAAGAGACAATTGAATCGATTCGCAGAATCATTTCCGTGCAAAGGGAATGACCTGCAGGGAAACCAATCAGGCGCAACAACCTCGGAGCAGAGCAAACGGACATCAGAGCCGGACGTGAGAACAGACAAGGGCTGCTGTGACTGAGCCATGGACACTCTCTTCGGGTTGAGCCGGCTGAGGGCGAAGGTCAGGATTGGCCAGGTTGGCATGCAGTGCATCGTCTCGCGGACGGTCCACACTCGTCCGTGCTTGTCACACGACGTTGCGAGATTTACATACAAGTAAGACAGAATGGAATGGCGGCATGAAGTGGAAAGACTAAGTGCTGAAAGGGGTCACTGACATCCACTGGCTGTATGCCAACAAGACCAATCAAGTGATCGGCTGCAGGAAGAAGCTTCCCCGATGCGTGAGCGACGGCCCGCGCCGTAAGTCCTTCTAGTCGTGATACTCGCGGAGCGAAGCTCCTTCCTGATAGCCACTGTACAACTTTCCAAGGTCCTACGAAGGGAGCCACTCCAGCTTGGCCGCGCTATGCCCGCGAAGCACGAGAGAGGGCCCTGGTATTCTATTTTGCAGGCACGACATGTTTCGACAAAGTAGATAATCACCATGCTCCCTAGGAGAGACCTGCCTACACTACACTCACAACAGCCATGACTTTGAACCGTTTCAGGGTTGGAAACACTGGGCCTAGATGACATCGACAAGGATTGCTTCAACAGCGGGCAGGGCACAGCCTATATACCATGCTTTGCCAGGAGGGCTTCGCCTTCCGGCACAACCACTTGCAGCGGCAGAAGCACATCTGAGGTCATTCCGCTATCCGGCTGGCGCAAGAGAGGGGGTCTACGATCACGGTCCACGGTCTGCCCCGAAAAGAATCGGACTTGCCAACCTGATACCGTCACGGCCTGATCCAGACGTGCAGTCACATCGGAAATCCGGTAAGGATCTTGGGTCAGCTGAACGAGCTGAAGACATGCAGATTTCTCGATGTGGCGAGTGGCCATGTGCACCCAAAGATTTGCGCACACGCAAGTGGCTAGGGAACTGAAGCTGCGTCAGGTCTGCTGACTTTGGCCAGGCAACTCAGTCTTAGCCGTGCGTCGCTACCAGTTCAAATCATTTCAAAGTGGAATATGGACAGCGTGCCTCAGCTAAGTGGGCACAATGTGGGCACTATAGACCGCAATGCCAACCGACTTCCCCTGTCGAGTCAATCTTTGAAATGCTGTGGTTCAATCTTTTGGATTTCCTCCCCAGAAGTTTGGAAGATGTCGGCACGCAGACTCCCCGTGCAAGGTGCAAGGCAAGGAGGCTTAGCACAGCCCCTCTTACAGCCAATTCGGTATTTACACGCGTCTGGGCAGCACCTAGGCTCGGTGACATGGACAGCCCCGGAGCGACTCCCCACGCCAAGACAGCTGTGGGAAAGGCGATGCCCAGCCGACGAAACTCGGCACTGCATCGCAGTGCGGATCCCGAGTCTCCTGGCAGCTGTGAAGCAGGAGTCTCGAAACAGCTTGCTGGGCTTGCTTTGCGCCTCTTTTCAAGGATGGCCTTGGTAATGATGCCGAGAGGTGATGTCAGCCACCGCTAGCACCACCACCAAACCCAGAAACCGTCATCGAGGCCGCCGCCGCCGCCACCACCACCACATCACCACAACCACCACATCATAGTCATCATCATCACCATCATCATCACCACTTCGAGAAGAAGAGAAAAATGACAGTGTTCTGGGTGAGGTTTGGAAGTGCTATCTCTGAATGCCGCTGCCCCTGCTCGTCCTTCGCTTGCGTTCCGCATCCCCACGAGCTACTCATATTGTGTAAGCCTCTGGCCTCACAGGAGAACGACAAGGGTTGTGGGATGTTAGGATCAGCCGCATGCTGTTCAACGCTCAAAGCACCGGCCTTAGGCAGAGGAGGCTGAGCCTGATCGAGATCGAGCACCCATGGCCTGTTGCGGCCTGCCGGATAAGCTCGTCAGAGCTCTTCAGAGCTCTTCACTGCCAAAGCATCGGCTTCTGGGATCCAAGGCCCTGGCGGGATGCGCTTCACCCGAGCAGGGCTTGCCTTGTCGTCGTCCTGCGAGGCTTGGGCGAGGAGAGGAGCGCAAGAACAAAAAGGGTGGGAGGGAGGGATACACAAGAGACAATCAGACGGACAGACCCATCAATCGATCCACACGCTGTGTGGCACAGCGTCCTCGGAATCGCCCACTTCTGTGCTGGTGTCTGAGCCTGTTACCATCTAGGCATGTCGCGGCTGTCACCAAGGCAACACAGTGTACTGCACTTGTCTTCTGCCACTTGCGGGAAGAAGAACAAGCAAAGAGAAGTCCAGTTTGCTCTCAGGCTGCTGCCAAAGGCAAGCTTGGTCGTATTTCGGGTGCGGGTGTTTCCGGAGACTGCTTGTTCTTCTTCTTCAACCTGACGGAAGCTGCGAGCGTTTGAAGCGCTCAGGGACGAACCCTCTTGCACGAGGGTGCCGTGCCTTCGGCATGTAGCCCAAGAGCGGCATGAAAATAGGAGCCTCAGACATGCATCACATGACCACGGGCATGTCAAGGTGCTGCTCCGCTTGATACGCACCCCCGCGGCCCTACCTCGGCAGAGAACTCATAGGGTGCCTGCCCATCTAGTCAGCAAAAATGCATGTTATGGGACTAGCATAGTGTCTCGCACCAGCCACATTCTCAACCAAGCACACCCAAGCATGCCGGAGAGGCCATGGAGCTCGGTTGAAAGGCAGGGGCTTCCGCGGACATCTCCTCAGATTTCTGCACGACGCTCTGAAAAGGCCAGGCTCGGGTAGCCTTCGGAAAAGATCTTTGATCTCAACCTTCACTTGCATCGCATTTCGGACTTCCGCTTCTCGTGGCCCTTGGGATCACTGGGTCGCGGTCGTTGGAGGCCGAGGCAAGAGCTTTCTTCTTAAGATGCCTGGGCCAAGGGGACCCCCGCTGTACTCCGCACTGGAAGCAACATGGGTGTTTGATTTGCTTAGATGACGAAAAGATGCTCACTTCCACACAGGCAACTAACATGGCAAGCATAGGGCCCTTCAAAGAACACGTGTCACAGCCTGAGAAAATAGATCATACTTCGAAAGATGGCATGAAAGAACCAGCCCTGAGATCGCTCGGGGCGCCGGCTTGCTTGGCTTCGTCTCCCTTGGAGGAACGAGCTCTGCAGTGACCTGAATCAAACAACCGGGTGACGGACTCAGACTGGTACCGTTACGCCTAACGGAAGGCCCAGCGCAGGCTGGTGCTCTGGTGGGCAACTGGCTGCGTGTTGGAGACTGCCACTTATGCACTATACACATACTACATACACATACGTGCATGCCACACCATATCATACCATGCCATGACATGCTCTGCCATGCCCTGCCACGCCATACACTACGCTGCGCCATGCTGCGTTTCGCTACGTTACACTACATTACATCAGATACAGCACAAGATTGTGTCTCCGATACATTTTGGGACCAGCCTTTTCCAGCTGCCGTGGTTGGGATCTCGTGGACCACAAGCCCCATGAAATGCACGAGCACGGATGAGCTTCAAGCAACGGCACCGGACTTGTTGTCCCACTGGCACCCAGAGAAATGCGCGACCTCGGCGATCGGGAGCTGACATTTTACGGCCTTAGGAGCATGCTTTGTTTGGGGAATCAAAGGTAAACCGCAAATCTTGGCTTGCAAGCGTGAGCAGCTAGCTCCAGTTAAAAAAAAGAGTTGCACACATCTTTGGCGGCTCCGCTCGCGCCGACGATCCTGGCACCGAGGTCCTGACACACCTCTGTGCTGCCAGCTGGTCTGCAAACTTGGCCACAACCTGTCCGACAGCTCCGGGATGCTGCAAGGTTTGATGCAGGCATCGGATGATTTCAGGCTTCTTTTGCTTCCGTCTTCTACACTTGGCAGGACCAGCCGACCTCTCCAGCTTTGCCAGCTTGAATGGTGAACTCCTTTAGGTATCCATCGAAGCCAGCTTGCTGGAAGACCTTCACTCTGCAGTGCTAGGAATTCCAAATCTCGAGTTTCTAGTTTAGCGAGTTGTTCCGGGGGATGCTGTGGCGAGGTTGAGGATAGATTATTCTGAGAACCTCTATTCCCCACGCTGGTTCTGGACTCGGCGAGCTGTGGAGTCTGAATCGTCGTGCACATGGCCGCCTTGTCCCATCTCTCCGTTGCATAGCTGTGGGCCAAGAAACCTAAAACCTCAGAAACCTTAAACGCTACTGTTCAAGCATCCTTGAGGACGAGGCCGCTTCCATCATCACCTTCCAGAAGTGCCAATTCCAGACCCGAAGCGGTAAGGGAGGGAATGTCGCAAAAAAACGATGAGGCCTTCGTCAGAATCTTTGCTGGTAAGTTGTGGATCACCACCTGCCACTCACCGGCCTCAGGTGACAAGCACATCTCCAGGGTCGCTCCTGAAAGAAAGGAGACTTAATCCCGCAAACGCTCCCTGGCACTCTCCAAGGAGTATGTGTCCTGAATCTGAAGTGCAGAGCTCTTGGGACACCGCCGGCGTGCGCGCTGCTGGCGCCGCGGCGGCCACCTTCGCGAGTCCGGGCGGCGGCGACCTCAGCACCCTTGAGCCGTAAACACGCGAAACTGGCTTTTCGACAATGGCAACAGCCGAGGCTGAGACACTTGTGGCGATTCCTTGAACCAAGGCAAGGTCGCAATAAGATGCTGCTAGTGTTGCTTGACGACGACGGCGACGACCAGGACGAGGACGAATACTACTGCGAATCATCGTAGTAATAGACGAGTCATTAGTGTAACATTACTAATAAAATGCGATAGTAATAAGAATAGAATGATGATGAACCCTTGCCCCTACCTCTACTACTGCTACTACTGCTGTTACTACTGCCACTACTCACTACCCACTACTCACTACTAACTACTCACTACTTACTACTTAGAACTGCTACTACTTCTACTACTACTGCTGCTACTACTGCTTCTACTACTACTGCTTCTACTACTACTGCTTCTACGGCTGCTAGCACTGCTACTGCTACTGCTACTGCTGCTACCACTACCACTACCACTGCCACTGCAACGGCCACTACCAGTACCACTGCCACTGCCACTGCCACTGCAACTGCCACTGCCACTACCACTGCCACTGCCACTGCCATTGCCCACTCCGGCTGCCACTGCCACTACCACTACCACTACGACGACTACTACTACTACTACTACTACTACTACTACTACTACTACCACTTCACTAGACAATCACAACCACCACCGCCACCATCATCACCACCACGACCACCACAACCACCACCGCTGCAACCATTACTACGATTCCTTCTATTGCGACTCTTCCGTTTGGCTCTCCACCCGTTACATGCCTTCCTGCTGCCCTACTTCGCACCAATCTAATATAATCTACGACAATCCCACGCTGGGCGCAAAACCCCCCGCCTTGGCTGGGCCAGCCTTTGACAGACCAGGTGGCAACTCGATCTCAGAAGCCTCCTGTCTCGGGGAAGCATCATCTCTTAAGGTAGTACGGGGTTGTGTAAAACATGTGCACGGCTTCACGGTGCGAATTGAAGTCTGAAATGTGGGCCGGCCTTTGCTGTCCGGTATCGCGTGGCGTCGCGCACGTCGTAGAACTCCAAAAAGAACGTGCCATCCTTGCAGTGCTGGTGCTACTGTCATTTCTTGTTGACAAATCCATACCAATGCTTATTGTTGTTCGAATATGACAGTGAATATTGGCCATGTCATGGAGCAGTGAAAGCAACATCAACAACAACAGCGTTAGCAGGAGCAGCTGCAGAGGCAGAACCAGCAGCAGTAGCAATAGCAGAAGACGGGAGTAGCTCAAGTAGCACAAGCAGCACAAGCAGCAGCAGTAGCGGTTCGTAGCACTAGCGGCGGTATTGGCAGCAGAAACAGTAATAGCAGCCGTAGCCTGGAAGAAATAAGAAGTACTAGTAGTAGTCGTCGTCGTCCTCGTCGTTCGTTTTCGCGGTGGTGGTGGTGGCGGTGGTAGCAGTAGTCGTCGTACTCGGACATGGCCATGGCCCCATTGAGCTCCCGTCCTGGCTCTTGCAAACCTCCGAGATGTTCTGGAAGTCCTGGGAGCGGACAGGGAAGGGGGACCAAGGGTCCGGGCTTAAAGAGCCCCTTGAAACCTTCCCGAAAATGAGGGGTACCTTTTTTGGGGGGTCCTTGTAACAAGCATCCTTCTATTTAGGGTACAATATTAGGGTCCCCCATTTTCTGAAACCCCACTTGTCTGCGGGCGGGAGTGGAGCTAGCTCTCTTAAGGGACAATGTGCGAGAACACGGACCGCTCTGTCTGTGAGGCCTTTTCTGTGCCCGTTGTCCTTTGTTGAAAGCTGGTCATCCCCTGCCAGCATGACCGTGCGATCACCTCAGGCAGGCTCGCGAAGCAGTGAAAGGACACACTGCTGCGCCATCGATGGCCCCCGAACACGAAACCTTTCATCGGAGACTGTTGCAGAGAAGCCCTGCGTCTGCAGAAACTCCGGGTACTAAAAGCCCTCGGAGGGCAACACCCCCCCCCAGGCCGCCCAGAGGCCCAGGGCCCCGACCGACCTGAGGACCTGAGATGCAGCCAGCCGCACCGAAAGCCTCGCATAGCTCTCGCGTGTGGGGTTCGGGATTTGTGGGGCTGGATGGATGCAATGGCGGGAGGGTAAGACTTTCAAGTTCAAGGTTGCCTAGCTGCGGGAGAGTGGCGCAGGATCCAAACATCGCAACTCCGGCTTGATAGAGAACAGGAGCATGATGGTACGCGTCAGCAAAAGACAACAAATGGATGAGATGCCATTTGTCCGTCTTTCTGCGAATGCATGCAGCACGTACACGGGATGACTGGATGCAGTTACGAATTCTACGCTCGGGCAAACCATCAACTCCTACATCGCTTTCTGCATGCTCCATCCTGTCGGAGCGTATGGGCACATGCGTGGACGCTTACACCTATCTAAACTGGGCACATGCGATGCAACAACATGCATCTTCCATGCAAGGTCATGTCATGCTCCCAAGATGCCTTCACTGCTCGATCGGCCGAACGAACATCGTAGAAGACGACCTCCAGCATGTGAGTCTCTAGCCCTGCCGTCAGAATTTTCATGCTTGACCCATGCCTGGACAAAGCTGTCGAACTTCTCCAGGCGCTGAACACGGGAAACCTGATGCTGTGCCGCCGCACCGAGGGTCGTGACCAAAACACACCGCTTTGCCATGCCGTCCTGCCTCACCGAAGTTTTCAAAAGCCACCTTTGCAGCATCCAGAGCCATCCCGGCGGGCAGTGGCTGGCGACAGAGGCACCATCGCATGTGCAAAGCTGTTGCATGCAAGAGAAGACCGCAAGTGAAGCTGCATCTCTGCAGTCAGCCGGAAGCCCAGGCACGAGCACTTACAGACCAAAAACAGGAAAGGAAGGCCGCAATGACGCTGTTCGTGAGGGTCATCTCAACGTCGGCGACCTGAACCAAAACAAGACAAGGGCTCCGGGCTCCGAGTCGGCACCCGGACCCCGGGCCGGGCACGGCCTGGCCTGGAAGATGGTCACAAATTCTCTGTGCTTTGCCTGCGTAAAGCTCGTATTAGAGTGCTCGCACGGGAAAGCGAACAAGGTCCATGCCCAATCCGTGCGGTCAAGTCGCTGAATCGATCTGCGCAGTGGTGCGGACCACTGCGAAGGTAGCAGGCGGCACTGAACCACTAGCTTTGTGGCCAAAATGGCTGTGAGTGCATTATGCATAGTCGCTTCTGGCCCTTGCGCACTCAGCAAGCATCTCCAAGAACCTAGAGCAAAATTGAGAAAGGAACAGCTGTTGGCCGTTGTTGCATCTCAAGCACAAGGTCGCAGCGTTCGCAATCTATCCCTAGCCCCTGGGCCCCTCGGCACAAGGAACTTCAGGACACCACGCACATGTTAGTACATCTATCACTACACCGGTCACCAGGGGCTGGTGCCGCCTGCCGCACGCTTCCGCTTTGCTCGAAGGAGACGACATGGCTGGCCTCGCTCTCGCAGAAGCTGCGGCGGATGACAGCGCCCTGGGCCAAGCGGCTCTCCCGCTTCTGGAAGGACTGCGAGGCACGCTTTGCGACCCTGTCGGGCGATGCCTCTTCCTCGGACTCCTCACCATCCTTCCACTCTTTCTGCTGATCAACCACGGTAACCTCCTGGTCACCAAGGATCTTGTCACTCTGGAGATTCACGGCGGCCACGGTTAGCCGCTTCTCCCGGGCTTCAAAGGATCTGCTTGCATGCTTCTCGATCGGTTTGTCGTCGTCTGAGTCCTCTGCGCCGGCCCATTCCTTCGGCTCACTCACCACTGGATGCTCTGTGGATGCTCTGCGTTCTTCGCTGGCCATGGCTCTGCCACAGAGCCAGCTGGGATCCTCCTGCACTCACTGCCGAATCCTAAATCCCAGTGAACTCTCGAGCCGGGGTGACTGTCGGGTTTCGGTCAGTCTTCGAGTGCACAACATGACATCAAGGTGAAAGGTGGCGAAAGACGCTACATCTGCGGCAAGCTGCCTGCCTCGTCATGCTTTTCGGCTGCCGAAGCTAGCTAGCATGGGTTTCTCCACCCGACTGCAATGCTGCTCTTCAGCACTGCATCTAGCCAGTGAAACCCTACGTCGCGTGCAGGTCATCCATCTTTGCGGTTGGCTTGCAAAGCATCATTTGCCGATGTCCCAACACAAGACACCCGCGCTTCAACGCAGGTGTGGCCAAATGGTTCATAAGGCCATGTGCCGGGGCCTGGGGCTCTAAAAGCCTGACGTGCTCAGCCAACTGGGACGCCATTGGCGCTGACCATGCTACTGAGCGTCCCCTGACAGTACTTTGAGCTGAAGCTAAACGCGCGAAGGGTGACCGAGACTCGCACAGTTGCACCGTACTGGCTTCGCTCAGGGTTGTGCACCTGCGCAGCGAAGGCAGCCGAATGCTTTGCTTTGACTGTCATGCCCATGGCCCTTTTTCAATACAGCCAGGCACCTGAGAATGGGTGATGGTTGGTTGGTAAGCTCTTTTTCGGGAATCGAAGTCCTGGTACAAGGAAAGCAGCTGACGATGCTTGACGATGTGATATTGCAAACGCTGTGCCGTGGGTCCTGGCAAGAAACCAAGCGTCCGTTCTCCCATTTCCTCGTGCTGATACGTCCATCCTCACGCTGATCGACGCGAGAGTGAAGCAGAAGGCTACGTGTCATGAGGAGCCATGGCCATTTCAGAGCTGCCGAAGCCCGCAAGCCATTCCGCTCCTTGTAATAGAAAGTCCCGCTCAACTTCACACCCTTGTCCCACAATCCCATGAACTCATCACCGTTGGCATAGACATACTTGCCTCTGTCCTGCCGGGCGAGTCTGAAGCTTCAAAACGTTGCTCTTTCATTCTCAGACCAGCCTGAAATTTACCATCTGCCCAGTCCCCCTCGTACGAGTCTCCTGTTGCAAAAGCTGAGAACGAGCTAACGAGCAAACTGGCTAAGGCTTGAACTCGAAATCGAAGTACATCATTAGGGGAAAAGTCAATGCAAGCTGAGGCTCCATTTGCCAGCTTGATGATGCCGAAGCCGTGCTTCTTGCCGCGCTGGCCAGGAGCACGCAAAGTCAAGGCCGTGTTCGGCGATTTCTTGCTGCAAGCAAAGGGTTGAGAGTTTTGGGTCGTCTGACAAACTGCAACAAGAGGTTCGAGGCCTGGTTAACGGTGCTCTGATAGTGTTTCTCCCTCTGTACACTGTGGCTATGGTCCGAGCCTTCCAGTCTCCGACGTAGCTTTCACAAGAGGGCTCGGCTGCCTTGCGACGTAACGTCAGGGCTCAAGTTCTGGGGACGGATTGATGGTTCCGGATCCGCCAAGGCCCCTAACCTTCCATTCGCCATGGCCGTGAGGATGACCGTCCTGATGCTCACATCTCTCAAAGATCACTCCGTTATATACTTTCTGATGTCACGCTCCTTCCACTCACCCGTGTAGGAAGACCCATCAGGATTGATCCTCACCTGGCGAAGAGCTGGCAGAAGCCAAAAATGACAAGACTTGCCCTGATTGTGCCAGGGACACCCCGAGGCCCTTCGGGATAGGCCCCTCGTGATGAGGGTCTCCCTGAAAGCACCCCCGGTACCTCAGTGGCCACTCCACAGAACTGCACTCTACAAGAGATATCCTGAGGCTGGCACTGTGTGACACCGCCGTTGGAAGCTGTGGACGTGAAGCTACCTCAAACAAGAACAAAACCTGTTTCCTGTGCCACGAAGCCTCAACTCTTCGTGCGATGCTCTGCCGCGGGAAGCAAGCAAGTTGAGCATGGCACCACTCATCATGCTTTTCCTCAGGCCAAAGACCGTCACACAAGCCTGAAAAATTAGAAAAACTTTCCCTCACTTGTTCATGAGCTGGGCACGAGAGATGTTGATGGTGAAGAACAGTGAAACTTCCGGAGCCATCTGGAAAGTCCCGGTGGATGACCTGAGCATATGGAGCAAGAGAAGTCGACAAAAGCCGTGTTGACAAAGAGGGGACCTTGAGGTCATCCACCTGGCCGTCTGTTGCGCTTCGGCACAGCACTTTCGGAGCTGCCTCTGGTGCCTCTTCGAGGCCTTTCAACGGTTGGTCCAAGGACTGGGACCTCAGACAAAATGGGAATCGCGGCAAGGCTCAGCAGCCGATCTCCCGGGTCGCAGGCATGGAGCCAGCGTCCCCTTCTTCGGCCTCCACTCACGGGGGTAAGCCGCTCTGAGCCCTCTGCGACAAGGGGCCCCCCCCATCGGACCTTGGGCGGTTCAGCTGGAGCTTCTTCCGTGGACGGCTCCACGACGCCATCATCTTCGGGAAGCCTCGATTCCGAAACATGTGCACAGAACACGCGCACACAAGAATGTCCAGCCAAAGCGCTGCGATCGCCCTTCCTCTGCCATTGTGGCCTAACTTGGAAAACAGTAAGGCACACTCAGGTCAGGAGCCAAATGGCCGCGAACAAAGTTACAGCTGGGCTTGCTCATTCATTTGAAACCTCGGAGGAGGGTGTGAGCCCTTCAGCTGCATTGCTGCTTGGTGCACATTCGCGACCCAAAAGCAAACCCTGGCAAACCAAATAGCTGGCTTTGAACGTGAAGCATGCGTGGGTCTTTGCTCTCGCAACCAAACCCTGCACCCAAACCTAAACTCGAAGCGAGCCACCGGCATCTTCACGTGCGGGCATGCCTTTTCTAAACCCGCACTGAGACCGAGGCGTGTGACGGGGAAGGGCATACGCTCGCGCTCTATGAGCAGCCGAGCAAACCCGAAGACAAAACACTTCTAAAACCAAGCGAACTGACCTGGCACATACTCCTGCAATGGTACTAAGGAGCTGGAAACTGCTCAGGTTCTGGAACGAAACCAGACGTTGGAACAGGCTGGCTGACGAATATCTGGATTTCGAAACACCTTCAGCAGCGCTTTGCGGCTGATGTCCTTCCGGATGTTGCAGACTGACGTGGGCAGTCATGTACAAAAGTCAGGCCGCAACAAAATCCGCAACAAACGGAACTAGAAATGGAACAGCACCGGAAAGGCTCTACTGAAAAGCTCCGGAAAACGAAACGAAACGAAGCACATCGGCAGATATCGGCAGCTGAGCCACTCGCCGCTCTTGTTTAGATTTCTTTGTTTTGAGGGCTCAAATCGGCAGCAGCCGTGAACGCCTCAGATATCTTGTCCTGAGGAGCGAAGCAGCTAGCAATGTCACAGCAAGCTTTGCGCATTTGTGTGGTCCACACGTCTACGAATCCGGTGGCGTACAGAAAGGCGAAAGAACCGCCCAACTGCACCGACATCTTCGTGATCAGCGTGAGTTCCCACAGAAAGCGGAGGTGAGTAAAGACCGTAAACCATGTCCCAACCACCGCGACTGCCGTCAGCAACTGCATGTTGATCTGATGAGCACGGACATAATCCATCTGCTTCCACGAGCCTCCGGCGCACAAGCGGCCAGTGAACAGCAGCAAGTTAGTGGCATCGAAGGTGATGGCCCAAAACGGCCGGATCAAGTACTCGATGCTCTGTTCCCAACGCGCACTGTAGGCCTCCAATGATATGATGTTGCCAACCAAATGGCGAGCCATCACACCAAAGCCATATAGCAAGCCAAGGACATGCACCACGATCATCAGCGATGTGTACTTTCGCCACGAGGGCTTGATGCAGAGCATGGCATTGAGCACCGCGAAGATGTTGAACAGCCCGAACCAAGGCATCAGAATCACATACTCCTCCATGTTGAGGTCCTGATGGCCTTTCGAAGTGGGCTGCGTCCAAATCCTGCAGAACATCACTATGAATCCCGACAGTACTTCCAATGGGAAAATGTCGGCAAAGAACACCATGCCCACGCTTTTGTGGGCCTTCTTGTCGAGGAAGGGTGATCTCACGAACTGGTGTACCAATAGCAGAGTCATTACCATGGACACCACGTCGTGGAGCACGATCATTGGCACGAGGATGGGGTGATGCGTCGCATTGTTGCCCAACAAGGTTCTTCCTAGCTCCATTTGCGACAAGTCCACATTGCGATACCGGAGGATACTGCCAATGGTGTACGCCAGCAAGAGGGCACACGAAACTAGTCCGAATTTCATCGCAAGCTCTTGTGACTGTCACAAGGCCGTAAGCCGCGGGATCTACGTTGATGTGCTTTTGAGTGATAAACCCTCGAGCCGTAGCCATGCATTGACGTGCCTTGCATCCACTCATGCCTGTTCAATTGTTGTCCCGCCCCGCCCCCCCCCCCCGCCCCTACTCCCCCTTACATGTCAACATCAAACACCAGTACATACAATCTACCGGCGAAAAGTTCAGGAATTGCTGCCTTTTTTGAACCTGCGCTGAGGCCGAGGCGTGACGGGGAAGGGCATACGCTCGCGCTCTATGAGCAGCCGAGCAAACCCGAAGACAAAACACTTCTAAAACCAATCGAACTGACCTGGCACATACTCCTGCAATGGTACTAAAGAGCTGGAAACTGCTCAGGTTCTGGGACGAAACCAGACGTTGGAACAGGCTGGCTGACGAATATCTGGATTTCGAAACACCTTCAGCAGCGCTTTGCGGCTGATGTCCTTCCGGATGTAGCAGACTGACGTGGGCAGTCATGTACAAAAGTCAGGCCGAAACAAAATCCGCAACAAGCGGAACTAGAAATGGAACAGCACCGGAAAGGCTCTACTGAAAAGCTCCGGAAAACGAAACGAAACGAAGCACATCGGCAGATATCGGCAGCTGAGCCACTCGCCGCTCTTGTTTAGATTTCTTTGTTTTGAGGGCTCAAATCGACAGCGGCCGTGAACGCCTCAGATATCTTGTCCTGAGGAGCGAAGCAGCTAGCAATGTCACAGCAAGCTTTGCGCATTTGTGTGGTCCACACGTCTACGAATCCGGTGGCGTACAGAAAGGCGAAAGAACCGCCCAACTGCACCGACATCTTCGTGATCAGCGTGAGTTCCCACAGAAAGCGGAGGTGAGTAAAGACCGTAAACCATGTCCCAACCACCGCGACTGCCGTCAGCAACTGCATGTTGATCTGATGAGCACGGACATAATCCATCTGCTTCCACGAGCCTCCGGCGCACAAGCGGCCAGTGAACAGCAGCAAGTTAGTGGCATCGAAGGTGATGGCCCAAAACGGCCGGATCAAGTACTCGATGCTCTGTTCCCAACGCGCACTGTAGGCCTCCAATGATATGATGTTGCCAACCAAATGGCGAGCCATCACACCAAAGCCATATAGCAAGCCAAGGACATGCACCACGATCATCAGCGATGTGTACTTTCGCCACGAGGGCTTGATGCAGAGCATGGCATTGAGCACCGCGAAGATGTTGAACAGCCCGAACCAAGGCATCAGAATCACATACTCCTCCATGTTGAGGTCCTGATGGCCTTTCGAAGTGGGCTGCGTCCAAATCCTGCAGAACATCACTATGAATCCCGACAGTACTTCCAATGGGAAAATGTCGGCAAAGAACACCATGCCCACGCTTTTGTGGGCCTTCTTGTCGAGGAAGGGTGATCTCACGAACTGGTGTACCAATAGCAGAGTCATTACCATGGACACCACGTCGTGGAGCACGATCATTGGCACGAGGATGGGGTGATGCGTCGCATTGTTGCCCAACAAGGTTCTTCCTAGCTCCATTTGCGACAAGTCCACATTGCGATACCGGAGGATACTGCCAATGGTGTACGCCAGCAAGAGGGCACACGAAACTAGTCCGAATTTCATTGCAAGCTCTTGTGACTGTCACAAGGCCGTAAGCCGCGGGATCTACGTTGATGTGCTTTTGGGTGATAAACCCTCGAGCCGTAGCCATGCATTGACGTGCCTTGCATCTTCGATTGTTCGTTCCACTCATGCCTCTTCAATTGTTGTCCCGCCCCGCCCCCCCCCCCCCGAGTACTCCGCTTCCGTGCTTCCGGAATTGCTGGCGACTGGGCGGGCTGAAACACTTTTGTCGCAAATGCATGACATGAATCCTGTCTCCTGTGCGGTGTATGCAACAGGAGCAAATCTCAAGCTCTACAGCGGCAGGAATACTGCCAAAAACTTGCCCCTGCAACACCACCCGCAAGCACTTCGTCACGAGGTGCAAAAATTCAGGAAATGCCATGCCCTACTTTCGCCTTGACTTCTGAAAAGACGCCATACGGAGCACACATGACCTCTTCTCCTCTATGTCAAAGTGGCGTCATCGAAAGTTGGATGCTTGATTTGACCATACGGCTGATAGTTAAGATGGGCAGATCAAACTGAAGGCTGATTGAAGCCTGAAAACGCCTGAAGTTACATTTGTCTGCCAACCTCTTGTGTCAAGGCCAATGTGGGGGCCTTGAATGTTAATTCAAGGATGCCGATCACGTGGCAGCTTCCCAAAGCCCTGGCTCGGAAGGCCTGTGGCAATGGGGCTGCGACGCGCAGCAGGAGATAGCACGAACTGCGAGACGGAGCTAGCTGCGAGTTCGGACGCCTTAGGCGATCGCATCAAAAATTTTGGCCAAGCCCTCTTAAGGCTATGGAGAACACAGACTGCGAAAAAGGCAATCGCAAAGCCTGGACCTCAAACATGGAGCCACTGGAGCTAAGGGCGATCCGGGCACCTTTTCTGACTGAAACGTTGCTGAGTTGCTGAAAAGCTGCCATAACTCGGTGCACCCTGGAAGGCCCCAGCACTCCGTGGAAAGCATATACGCTATGCATTGCTCAGCAATGCTTATTCTTATTCTGAAGTGTTATCGACGAGAAGTCACCTGAGTGAGCACTTGTCGAGATCTGAAAGGCGCAGCAGACACAATGCACACATTCTGGCATGTATTTCAGCGAACCACACATGCACACACTTTGCAAGCAATCACCCCGAGGTTGCCACTCTATGCATCACTCTTTCAACCAGCCGTGGTTGAGTGCCTCGGTTGGTGGAGAGACATGAGATGGGTTCAGAGACGGAACTTGCAATGGGTTTCTCCAGCTTTTGCTCAAAAACAGGGTGCCATAACTGTCCTGCCGACTCCTATTCTAACGCGACCCATGAATTTGCAGAGCCTGCCTCCTCACAGTCTTTCATGCGATCATCCAGCTCGAAAGCCAACAACTTCTGGCCTTCGGACAGGTACGACAACATCTTCAGCCCTTTTCATCAATTCAGTCGGGACTCCACGACCGGCTTAGGAGAGTGCAAAGATCTCGCGCCAATGGAAAGTCTGGCCATGGCTCCTGCTCCCACCTTGCAAGCCGAGAGCATCCAAGACGGAGCAAAGAACAGGAAACCGACCGCAAGCAAAGCAAATCGGTCCGCGACTCAAGGATTTCCGCCTGTTTTGCATGGCTCGTGAGACAAAAACTTCACAAAGAACAATCTCAAAGATGGAAAGCAGCCAGCCTTGAGAGCCCGGTACATCTGTGTGGCGCTTGGGCTGCCTACCAAGCCGTCCTGATGCCGCATTCTGCCAAGCTGCTACAAGTAACTGCCAATCCTTCAAAACACCAGAGACCGGGAACCAGTGCGACCCATATGGAATACCAGAAGATGACGGGATGAAAGACCACCATACGAGCCATCGAATACGACGCATTGATTTCTCCGTTGCATGTGGGGTTTTCGATGGCAACACCTCGCATATCAGCGCAGCAACAGGACGTCACTGCACGGTCATGAAACTCGGACAGCTGTGGCTCCTCCAGACTGACCAGAGAACTCCAGGGCATTTCACCGGTCATCAGGATGTACAGGATCACCCCAACCTCCGAAACTCACACGAAAGCTGCGGAAGCTGAAGCTCGGCTTCTGGGACATCGGCAGACCAAAGATCTGATTGCGGCGACTGCTGTCCCATCAACGCTTCGGGAGCCTAGCACCAACGGACCAGGAAACGAGGGCAAGGGTCTTTGCTGTGCAAGCCAAAGCATTCTGCTCCAAGGCCGACACAATGTACCCCGGCCTGTTGGGCACATGGAAAAGAACCCCGACATCGTAGCTTCACAGTCAGCACATTCAGCACCCGACGTGCCGACAAACCGTCGGCTCTTTGGTGTCTGCGGTGTCCACTCTTGACCTGGGGGGCTTTCGCAAGGCGCAGCCGCGGCGCAGCAGTGTCCGCTCAACGTGAGAGGCAAATCCGCAGAACGAAGGTAAACGAGGTTCCAGGGAGCTGACACGTGTCGAAGTCGATGAGCTTCACCGTCTTGGGAGATGACTCGACCATCAAGTCCAGGTTGAACATGATGTTTTCTGGCCTTAGACATGCCAGCATATTTCTGCTTCTTCCGTTCGCAGCCCTCAGTGGGGTCAAGGCTTGATATCGCGGTGGATGATGTTGTTCTTGTGCAGGTGTCCTCCACACATCGCAAGAACTCCGACACCTGTGAGATGAGACACCAACACTTCATCCCTCACGCGTCCTACCGCGGTCAGGATTTCCCTGATGATCCGCTTGCACCTTTGAGAACCAACGAAATCAGCCAGTAACCCTGGACATCCTCGTCAAAAAGTTATCCACGATGTGCAATCAATCCACCAGCTTTGTCTTGGAAGCGTGTGTGTCAGGTTTTACACGCACACGCAGAAGCCGAATCTCCACAATGCTGAAGTCCGGGTGCTCACTTTCGACACTTAGCATGGCACTCGGCTTCGGGGACCTGACGGGCAACACACCACAGCGATCAGACCGAGACTGCTATGATTCTGACTCCAGTCCAAGTCTCGGCAGCGCCACGACTAGCAGCAGGCAGCAGGAGCACTACTACGACTAGTAGTGCTACTACTACTCCTCCTCCTACAACTCCTACTACTACTCCTACTACTACTACTACTGCTACTACTACTGCTACTACTACTACTCCTCCTCCTACTACTACCACTACCACTACCACTACCACTACCACTACCACTACCACTACCACTACCACTACCACTACCACTACCACTACCACTACCACTACCACTACCACTACTACTACTGCTACTGCTACTGCTACTACTGCTACTGCTACTGCTACTGCTACTGCTACTGCTACTGCTACTGCTACTGCTACTGTTACTACTACTACTTCTAGTACTACCACCAGCACCAGCATCACCACGACAACTGCTGCTACCACTACGACTACTCCTATTCCTCCTCCTACTATTCATAGTCATCGTCGTAATACCAGTACTCTTACTAAAACTCAAACTAAAACTCTAGTTTTCTAGTTCTAGTGTACTAGTGTACTAGCGTCGCAGCGTACACCTACTAATCTAAGACTAGGAGCTGTAGGAAATGTAGTAGTTGTCGTCGTAGTAACAATAGTAACTAACAGAATAGATTGTCGTGGTAGTCTTGGTCGTAGCAGCAGTAGCACTAGCAGCAGCAGTAGCAACAGCAGTCGATCTTGTTGAGGGCCTCGGTCTCGTTGGCCAAAAACTCGAAAAGCTCTCCCCCGTTGCACTTCGGCATAACGACCTGATCTCAGGTCTTGCCCACAGGCACACGCACACATGCACACAAACCTACAAACGAATGACAAAGTCCATCTCGACTGGCAAATGCTGACGTTGTCTCAAAGTCTTCCGGTTTCAAAACCACAGAAGTTCAAGATTCTGTTGCTGAAAAACAAGACCCGCCTGTGGCGTTCCAAGAAGTTACATGAAGTAAGCCACATGCCCCTCGACCCTGGACGGTCGGAGAGTTCTCTGAGGACTCTGCATAGAACTCGTTCTCACCTTCTACGATCTCAGAGAAGCCAAGCACGTTGTCACCTGAGCTCCAATCCCGGCCATCTCCACTGTGCGGCGTTGCTGCTGGCACATTAGCAGGCAGGCTTGCTGGATCACCCAGCCGGCCCAGCCATTGCTGAGACACCGGCTTGTGGAGATGCCATGCATCTGGGCCATAATCGTGCGCCAATTGCGCTCATTCGCCCTGCGGGTGTTCTGCGCTGCAACCTGCCTAAGCAGCATCTCAGCTGAACGCGGTCGGTCCTGTTGTTTTGCTTGGCACGGATCTTGACCACCTTGGGAATCATTGTTCACGCTTGAATCGTAGGTCCTATAATTGAAAACTTCCGAGCCTAGTGCCCTGCAGTCTGCTTCCCAACACCGAGGCCGGCACCACCTCTTGTCCATCAGTCTTCCGCTTTGCAACCTCATGTTTTGATCCGATCGCCAGGGTTTCCGCTTGAAGAGGGGCTCGCTCGCAACGGCTTCACAAAGAAACTTTGAAGTAATGCTTGCTGCTGTGCAGAATCCATGCGAGTCTTCGCGCCCATTACATCCCTGAGTTCCTGAGTGCCCTGCAAGCACGCGGCCTTTGCAGCCTGCGAGTCGTATAGAGCCATTTGCCACCGTTCGCCGACAGGGACCCTGCACCTCCACTATAGATCTCCTCTTCGAAGATGTACGAATTGTTTATGGACTCTCCTGGGGGGAACAAGACAGGAACACGCGGACAGGGCGCAGAAAGGAGTCGAAGCAGCATCCAGGAATCCAGGGCTTCAGCCAGGCTTGAGAGTGCGGAAGATCTTCTCCATCTGGGCAAGGAGAATAGGTAGTTCTCAAAATGAGGGTCCCTGCTGGGTCCTTTTTACAAGGGTGCCGTACTGTTTTGGGGACCGAAAAGGGACCCTCTTTTCGATAACTACCCATGTGAGATAGCAGCAGGGCTATCATTCTACGAAGTTCCGTCTGGCCTTGCTCTTCTGCTGCTCCGGTGGTTTCACCGGCGTGGCAACAGAGAGGTTTTTGCCTTGGCGTCTTTCCGTGAAGAAAGAAAGGTGTGCAGGCACATGCCATCTGCCTTCGCGGCAGAAGAGTGTTTCGGCCCATGGAGGCTGGGGTACCGGCTAAGTCGATCTCGGATGCGCTGCATCCCACCGCCGCCGCCGCCCCCACCGCTGCCTCCACTTCCGCTTTGAGTGCTAGCCTCTGGCGCCTGGAACAGCTGACAGTGTCAAAGCGAAGGTTTGTCGATCTTCGGCCAAACATGACCTAAAAATCTGAGCTCAAAGGAGAATCTTAGAGAGCCTGAAGGCTTGGGACCGTCGACGCAGGTTCGTCAGGCCTCGGCGACGCATGAGAGATGCCATTCCATCATCGTCATCATGACCATCATCACCACCATCATCATCACCGCCAGCTTTCAGCAGCAAGCAGACAGAAATGATCACAAACGGCTCAGCCGCACGCAACCGCATCATGCTTCCACTGCTCGGGGTGGTCGTGCCTGAGTAGGTGATACCGAGCGAAAAACAACAATCACTAAGAGAGTTTGTTGTTGCTGCAGGTTTCGAGATTGCTACAGTACTCTTCCTTATATGACTACTTGACGCGTCCATGGTATCGCCAGTGCAGGATCGGAACTCATGCACCTCAAGAGGTCATGAGCCGACCGAGGTACTGTAGCCCTGCCCCGTGTCAAATCAGATTTGTGAAACTGCTGCTCCGTTTTTGGCAGCACAATCACACTGAGCTCCGTTGGCTAATGTTATTTCTACTGTTGCTGTGTTGTTGCTGTGGTCGCTGTTGTGGTTGCTGTTGCTTTTGTTTGTTGTCGTCGTTGGTCTTGGTCTTTCTTGGTCCTGGTCCTGGTCCTGACCTTGGTCGTGGTGGTGGTGGTGGTGGTGGTGGTGGTGGTGGTGGTGGTGGTGGTGGTGGTGGTGGTGGTGGTGGTGTAGGTGGTGGTGTAGGTGGTGGTGTAGGTGTAGGTGTAGGTGTAGGTGTAGGTGTAGGTGTAGGTGTAGGTGTAGGTGTAGGTGCAGGTGTAGGTGTAGGTGTCGGTGTCGGTGTCGGTGTCGGTGTCGGTGTCGGTGTCGGTGTCGGCGTCGGCGTCGGCGTCGGCGTCGGCGTCGGCGTCGGTGTCGGTTTTGGTGTTGTCGTCGTCGAAGCGTTCACTCGCTCAGTGTCTTTTTCTTAACCTTCATCTTTCTGCTTGTCCCGTTCTTTTGTGTAGGGATGTTTCTGTATTCCGAAGTGCGTTGCGGACAGCGGGGTGACCTTCTTTTTGCGGGCTTGAGGGCTTGTCACGACTCCCTGCACAAAGCGCTGGCTTTAGGTTGGGGCATGCGCAACTTCGTTGGGACTGTTCTCCATTCAAGTTGGCCATTGGTATTTGCATAAGTCTGGAAACAAATAGGATTCAGGCGCATGTCCATGTAACTCTTTCGGTTAAACTCTGCAACTACCGCGGTACTGCCAACACTATGACATGTCACACCAGCTGACACTGCTCATCAAACTCATCACTTCCGGAAACTTCCCAGGCTTCGGCCACTCTTCTTGCTGCTGGATCGTGTGGGCGTGTTCTGAGTAACAAAAGATGGGTAGGCATGAGCTGACGCAGTCCTTCCTCTCGCTACAAGCTCTGGAAATCTCTACGACAGTCTAAGGCCCCGGCCCCCGGACTGTATCCTGTCCGGTAAGAGGTTCAGCACACACACAACGTACTGCTACAACACGGAAAGGAAAGCCAAAACAATGCATGAACTTGATTCTGCAGGCTGGCCCGAAGACTGCTGCGTGCTGGCTGTGTCGATCGGCAATCTGGCACACGCTTCAAGAAGCATTGTGCGGGCAATCGCAACATCAGGCGCAATCGGCCGCTAGGCTGTGTTGAACCTAGAGTCTGAGCTCTGAGTAAACCAGGTGGGGCGGTACGTGAGGAGTCCCCCCTGCTTCCGTGCAGAGGCAGAGGATGCCGAGCCAGGACGTGCAGCAGGCCTGAACACAGAGCGCTACTAGTACGCATATATTGGCATGTTGTGTTGGGCTTCAGGTTAAATGACTTATGGCATTGTATGCCGCGGCTCTCGTGCACACAAGCATACAGCATCCAAATGAAAACTTCTGCCGACTGGACTGGCTTTCCGAACGAGGGGATTTGTGTGAGTATGTGTCTGTGAGTGAGCACCTGGCCGAACCAGAGAGTAGGAAAGTGAGCAGAGGAGGAAGTGAGCCAGCGAGCGAGCAAGGGATAGGGCTACTGATTCACTGACTGTACTCTCATCTCGGGATGCTGACATTCACACGGTAGTGCAACTGTAGCTTTACGACTGTTCGAAACACATCCCGTCTCAGGATAAAGCTGCATTTCATAGTTTACATGGTGCCCCACTGAATATAAATTCTGCACTTTTCCCATGCTGAGGGCGACACGGCGATTCAGGGCAATAACCCTTCTCAGCCACGATCGGGGCCTGGCAGGAAATGGAACTGCGTCCGAATGCATTCTCACATCGGCGGCCAGAGAAAGGCAAGCGCCTCGTCAGGAAGACGCGTCATGCTGTTGTTGCGCTTCATGGTCCCAGATCGCGACCTTCAAAATGCGTCTCTAGAGACGCCACGGATCAAGCCCAGCAAAAAAGGCAAGGCCCGAACGGCGTTGCATCTCCTGCAGAGTTCGGTCTGGAGCCCGGAGTGTTAGGCCTTGCAAGGCAGCAAAGCCGGCAAAGCCAGGCCAGGCGTATGTAATGTTGGGCCTTGCCGTTGGTAAGCTCACTCCGGGGGAAGATGCTGTCGCACAGAGTGCTGCTACAGGCAAGCACGCAAGGAGATGCTTCTTTCTTCCAGCCCTTTCAACCGCGGCCGCAGGTCTGCCAGAACCCGCTGCAGATCCTCCAAGGAACACCGAACTGGAATTCGCTTGCCCACAGTATCTCACAGAAGCTCAGAGGTCCTCCGGCAACGGATACTTCGGCTTAAATGGCAACCCACTCAGATCTTTCAATGAGACGGATCGGCAGTGGAGGAAAAGGCGACTGCCCGCCCTGCAGCACAAAAAGCCAAGCAACCACTGCAATCCGCTGCATATTTCCTATCTTGGGTCGCCGCAGGGAGCGTCCACCGTAGGCGTTGTCACCGACAATTGGGCTGCCCATGCTTGCAAGATGAACTCCTGGACTGACTGTATTCCCCTACGGGACCGATTCTGCGCAAAACTACCCAGCTTGAAGTCTTGACTTGGGCTGCGAGATGTCGCTTCGTGCAGCCAGGATCGTATTTGATGTAGGCGACCGGTCATAGGCCGAACTGCAAGAAGCGCCAGGGCCTTCCAGAGGCTGTTTACGGGACATTGCTTCCCGCGCCCACTCGCACCACTCGCACCACACGCACCTCAACTCGGCCGAGTTCTGGCGGAATGTGGAAGAGCTCCAGAATCCTGATCTTCGTCTGCGCCTGCTCAAGGACAGCAGGCTACGCCAGACGATCACCTCCCCCCTTGCTTGCCCACCTGCTTCCCAGCAGCAGATGCCTCAACTCGTTTGCCAAGGCGCTCCCCCCATCTTCGGGACCTCGGCTTGACAGAGACCACATGCAGCACCACGAGTCTCGACATCTGATTTCAAGGCCAGCCGCACAACGAGTCGCCTGTCGATAGAAGCTCGCGTTCCCCGTGGGCCCAGGGACTGACCGGCGCAAAGGCACAGGTACTCCTTGGTCACCTGAAAAGGTGGGAGGAGAGTGAACAAGACAGTGCGGTCTCAGAACAAGTGACCAGTGGATCGTCACACAGTTTGACAAGGAGTGGTATTCAGGAGGTATGTGACGGCTCAATCTGCTCAACAAGTCGCCTCTGAGGCTAGACACATTTCCGACTTTCCGAAACCCTGAGCCCGGGCCAAAGATGAAGATGGATACGTGACCCTGGCTCTGGGCGACATCACGCTGGCGCACCTGCCGCGCCGCGTACTGTGCATCGAGGAATTGCGTGGGGCCATCGTCTGGGCCACCCAAAGCCAGTGGAAGCACCCCAGATGTTGGAAGATCCAGTCGTGAAACCAGCCTGGCCACGAAGCTCCACGAAGCTCAAGGTCACGAAGCAGATGAGACGCGCGAATCCCGGATCCCCCCATTTTCAAGCAGACTGAGCCACTGACGTAAGCTCGCCGTGCCACCCACTGGCACGCAACTCCGCCAACAAGCGCTCACGCATGCTTTCGCCTCGGGCACCGCAAGGAAACGACACTCTCATGAAAAGCGGATTCGAGCCCCGTGCTTGTGCAACCTGCAGGCTTGAACACCGCCAGCACCCCATCACCGATCACAACCTGGCAAGGCCAAGGTCATCAGAATGAAACTTCAGGTGCAGCGCGACTGGGACACATCTGGAGCCAAATTCTCCATCGAGGTCCTTCCGAGGGCAGACATCTTTTACGAACACTCCGGCGAGAATTCCGAGCCCATGGCCCAAATGCCCCTGCCATTTGTCGCGCCGATGGCTGCGCCCACCTCTGCCTCCCGCGATCTAGTTGGCACCACAACAGACAGTCAGACACTTTACAGAGGACGGATACCAAACATCTCTGGCCTCAAGCTCTCGAGCGTCTTCAGGGCCAAGTCCTCTTCAAGAGAGAGACTGTGAGGTGCACTCTTGTTTACGTTGGCTTGCGATGGCTCTAGAGCGACGGCGTCATTTCGGACGACGGTAGCCGGACCTGTCCTCTTGGCCGGCCAATTTCATTGCATGCAGAACGGAACCCCAACAAATTCCATCGGTTTTCCTGACAAGTCATACTGCGGGGAGCATTTGCAAACAAAGGCTTTGACCTGGACTCATAAGATGGATGGCACGTCAGATTGCACTACAAGTCTCAGCTTTCTCAGCCTCGGCTGCTCGACAAGCTCACAGAACACAAGGCAAGTTTCGATCACCACATCTTGGTGCTTCCGGGTTGCTGCATGTCTGCTACGAGGCCAAGAGCCTGTTGCCAAAATCCGCCCTGCTCGCAGGCACTGATGGCTGCATGGAAGCAGAAGTCCTTGGGAGAGATCTGCTCAAGCCTTCATCGGGGGGGTTATGCGGCCCTAAAACAACTTTTTAAACTGCCTGCCGAGGTCGTCAGCGGGCAAGCTCTGCAGAAACATCTCGCTGATCATGTCGACTGCGAGCTCCCAATGGCTGGCTTTGCCGCAAGCATCGATCAACATCACCTGAGCGGCCGTATGACAACCATTCTCTCAGCGTCGTCTCGATTGCAGACAGTCGGGGGACCTTGTTTTCACAAGCAACCGCAACGATCCTGCATTCGTCTTTGGTCTGCCATCACTTGCGAAAACACGCGTACATGGGCGGGAAAGTCTTCAAGCTACACCGTCGGCTCCGCGGTCTTCAGCTCTCCGGAGGTCTCCTCTCGATCCGGAGCCTGCGAAGCCTTCGCCTCCTCAATCCTTGCACGGGCCCTGGACGGAAGATCTTCAAGTCCGAAGCCAAAGCCATCCGGCCAAACAGCAGCATTTCGGATCTCTCCAATAATGCCCCTGTCCGCCCACTCCGGGTTCCTTCCAGGGCAGCGCAATGCTTCCAAAGACGGGTAGCTTGCATCTTGCGGCTCGACCCGTGCCAGTGCCTGCCAACGTGCACCACATCATCGTGAGGTTGGAAATCTCCGTACACTTTCTTGCTGGCACGATCCACACCGTCGCACACCCTCAGCTGTTCCAAAACAAGCACACGCACAGACCAGCACCGCTTCCCATGCAAGATGTACTGCAAGCAGGGTCGTTAATCCAGGCTGCACTGTGAGCTGGTGCATTTCGGCTTCGTAGATCATACAGACATGATGCCACGCCCCTGTATCCCGCCGCCTCGGACCATACTACAGTTGACAAAGCCTGCATGTCCAGCCAACATGCAGCGTCGAGGTGTGAAGCAAAATACGTCCAAGCAGAGGACTTCCACTTCAGAGTCAGCTCGTTGTGCCCCCCATGTGAAGTGGTGAGAAGCGCCGTCACACCTGATCCTGGGCACGGGGCACGCACCCGGTGGTCACAGCACAGTAGCAAAGCTCAGTTCCAATCTGCTGCTTCTGCAGCCGTGTTTGACCGAAACTCCAGTTGCGGCAGCGCAGACACACACACACACACACACACACACACACACACGCACTTCGATCTGAGTCCTTCTATAAACAACATGTGCTGGCAAGTGGGGGTGTCCGAACCAATTACCCGAAGGACGATCACGATGAACATCAGAAACAAAAACTCTATGACGAACGTAGGTGTCGAGCTGGGATTGCAAATGGTGGTGATGATTGCTATTGGTCACCCATTAAATATCACTTTGTTGAACATGTTCAGGCACCGTATAAGGTCGCAGTCGTGTGCAGTCACTCCGATTGCATTGTGTGGGTGGTGGAATGTCATGGACGGCGAATCCTCCAATGTTCGCACGACAGTGTTGGAGGATGGTTACATCCGTTATCACCCGTCATCACACCAAAGCACGTCGGGTTAACCAGACTCGCCATCCCATGCATGCACACGGTAGCATCATTGAGTGCGACCCTGCTGTCACGCACTCTCTTCACGTTCACGGCGAAATCTTAACTGCGAACAGTTGGTCCGAACACAAAAACCCCCAACCACCGGACACCTAATCAATAGGCGGTTGGTCTGAACAATCTCTGCGAAATTGTTCAAAAGATGGCAAGGAAGGTTTGAGGAACCAGCCGGCCTCCACAGCGCAGCTCCCAGCCTGTGCCACTTCCGTGCTGTGAAACGATGCTTCCTCCAAGCAGGGTCTATCCGCTGCATTAAAAGCAGTTGGCTCCATACACCCGGCCTTTCCAGTCAGGCATAGGCCATTCAAACAGCTTGATGGTTGCTTCCACTGCAAAGTTCTTCTGCATGTCAGGAACAACATCCCAGCGAGGAGCGGCGCATGCCAGCACGCTGTCCAGGACCAGGGTTTCGCCCACCCAGCCTGAGCAACCAGATGCAACAACATCACTTCTGTCATTGCCATTGGCCTGCTCAGGCTGCCACGCGCCCCATCGAGGAGACGGGTTGACAAGCCTGTGTCGAGGTCGGCCTGCGGCAAGAGTATGCCATTCATGGCAACTGGACACTGGATGTCTCGTGTTCTGAAGACCTTCCACGTTCAAGCATGCATCCTAACACCCTGTGCCATACATCATTCTGGAGCCCGCCTGCTGCAGCATAAAGGCATTGGGCCGCACGAGGACCATCACCGCATCCCCATCTCTCAAGCAGGATCCGACGGTTGCTTGCATGGGGAGGACGTTCCTGAGCCACTCTGAGTCTGCGCCAACAACATGGGACAGCATCTACTAGTATCCCGCAAACCAATTCACAAGAAATTGCCTAGAGGGAGGCCTACAGTGCAAAGTTTCTTCCAAGCGTCCCTTCGTGCAGCAAACTGATTCGCTGTACCGATGGACACAGCTTGCGCAAGACTTCCTGACACATGAAGATCACCTTCTGAGTGGCGACGATGCGCACAGGCTCCAGCCTAGGATGCCGCCGCGTCAGTCTCTGATTGTTGAACAAACTTGCTCTTCAAGAAGTGGCCCTTGTTCGCCCGACATTGCATGAACCAAAGGTCAGAGATGCCAGATGTCCTAGCCTGAACATATGATTTTTTCGGATCGAGGGTCAAGGGGCAACACGTGCAATCACGCACGAAGTCATGAAATTACCAAGCAGCTCTTGCCCGGACATTAGCGCCACCTGAACCGTCAGCACCTCGAGGTCCTTCCCCTGGTCGCATCATGTCGCATCATAAAACCATGCAGTCACATCGACAAAAGCGAAAGCAGCAAGAATACATAAACATAGCGAACACAGCACATGAGGTTCCTGGGGTTTTCGACTCTGGTGCTCGGCACCGCCAGGACCAACTGGTCTGCTCTGCTCTGCTTTGAACTTTGAACGACACTACTTGCCTTCGTGCTTCGGGAAGAGATGGCAACATTGATATGTTTTTAGCATCCTTGCAAGACATGCTTGTTGCCCATCCAACAGTGTCGAAACTTGAACATTACTGAATCTCAACTGTGATTCTCAAGACTGGTGCTAGCACTTCCAAAACTTTTCCTTGTCTGGGAAGACTCTCTTTCGCATGGATCTCGCCAGGCTCCCCAAGCTGTGTACGACCGCGATAGCATGGCCGTATGCCGTCGTGCCAGTATAAGTTGGGCACTCCCGTGAAACAGCTGGACAAGTCCCACGGCACTCATTCTTAATACCGAGCACTTTGGGGTTTGCAGACCGGATGATGCCATGTGGTTCGCCTACCCCGTACCATTCAGGCCACAAACCGTTTCTAACAGACTCAAATCAACAAGATGCATGGCACCGTGCCTCCTCCTTCTCCTCCTCCTGCTCCGAAGTGTTGCTGTCGCTTGTCTGCGAACCATGGGAGAACATCTCTTCAGCTTGAAGGACAAGTCTATTTGCAAGGATGCGCAGCAGACCGGTGGGTCTGCTATGCACTTGCAACCTGGGGAAGGCCGCTTGAGCCACGGAAAGCCGCACAGCTTGCTATGCGATGACCAGGCTGACACACCGTCCACATCCTAATGTCCAAACTGCTGCGAAAACATGACAGAGCCCAGCTCGGAAGTGTGCAAGGGAGAAAAAAAACAAACAAACTCATTAGCCCCTCACGTATGTCGACGTTCTCAAGGGCATGCCGGCCGCGCACATGAGCTGCATCAGCTGCATCGTCGTCTCCCACTGGCCGGCATTCTTCAGTGCTGCCATCACAGAGTTGTAGGTGATAACGTCACGGCGGATGCTCTCTTCCTTGGGTGTAATTGCAGCTGTATGCTGCGGAAGAAGCGACAAAGAAAGGCCAGCAACAGGCAGGCGACGGGCATGACGTCCAGCAGGGCCAGCGCATGCTGCCAGCGACCACCTTTCCTTGGCTTGCCCCTGTCTAGGCACCTCCAGTTCAAATCCAACAGCCCGGGGCTTTTTCCTTGCGCAGCATGCGGGTCTGGCTCAGTCGGTGCCTAAAGAAGCACCGATGTGCTGGGCAAAGTTTGCAATTTCTGAGCCTGTGGACAACCTCATAGGCCCCAATAGCCCTACATACCATCCGAAAAGTTGAGTAGGAAATACCGCAGGGAGCCTCAGAGGCTGAGAAACGCAAAAGCGCTGCCGAGAAGGTAGAAAATCCTGGCATCAGCCGCCCTGCGTTTCAGGGTTCGGGCCAAGGATGGCCACCGCAGGAAGTCAACCCTGCCTGAGATCATTATCACAACTGATATGGATAGCGAGAGATGTAGAATGTAGATTCTTGCCATCCCCAAATCTCAGCCATCCAGACTTCATGCGAGGTGATCAAAACAACTACATGAGATTTTGAGGACACTGGCGCTTAAATATCAGCCAGTGATTAGCGGTTCTGGCGGCTTTGAGACAGGGTAGACTATTGCTATACCCAGGGCAGCCCTAACAACTTCAGATTGGCAAACATCGGGTGTCAGTACACTTGACGATTTGTCATGCCTGCCCTCCCAGCCGCCTTTTCACCCTAACTCTGTCTCCTGGAATTCTGGGTATTGCTGACGCACTTCACAAGCTTCAGGGCGCCTACTCACGCTGCGTTCAGCTGCTTCCTGGCCTGCAGGACGTACAATTCACATTGACTGCACACTGTGACGCAAGCCAATCTCGCACGGCTACCAACCTCACATAACCCTTAAAGCCTTAAAGAACCCTTATAACAGCCCACCTCCTCGTACTCCTCGAGGCGCTTCTTCATTTTCTCTTGCACCTCTGAGTTGCTGCGGCCATAGCTCCAAACTTCGCCACCTTGGGGGCATTCAAGCGAATCAAAGATTTGGTGTGGTATCGGATTTTTTGCACAAGGTTTCGACTGGCACACTTCAACCAGCTTCCAATCAGGCCGAATCACCCATTTTGAGCATTAACAGCTCTGCAACGCGATTCGCGACGTCCACGGGGCCTTCGAAGGCTTCAGTGAAGCCAGCTTTGGACCACATGTCCTGCAAGAGGACAAGACCCCAAACCATGTTGGACATGAGTAGATGGCAGAAGTCTGCTACGGGACCGGGACTCGTCTGGTTTGCTTTCCTGTCCACCTGTTGATCGCTCACCGCCGAATAATGCAATCACACTTTCGGCTTACTACGGGAGTGTATTGGAAATCCAGACCCATGTTTTTCAGTGATTGGCGTTCTGCTTGCTCCATCTGGCAGGGACAACCTGGCTTCGAAGACGGCTCGCAGTTTCAAGATCGTCTGGGGTCTGTGCCTGCTACCTGTTCGTTCTTGCAGAAACAGACGTCTCTTCAGGAATCTATCATCCTCAGTTTGGGATTTGGTTGTTTGGTTCGTGGCCTATGAGACAAAAGCGGGCACACATGACACTGCCGTCAAGGACGAGAGTCGACAAACACCTCAGCAAACAGATGGTGTGATGTTCCTTTTCCTCTCTCATGCACGACTCCGCGAAAGTCAGGACTGGTGCAGAGCCTCTTCAGCAGCATGAATTGGCCAATTGGCAACACCGTCCCAGCACGCAGCATGTCTAAAGTGGGTAAAGTTTCTCTGCCTCTGCAACTGATAAAGTACGTCATAGTGTGCCGCTTCTCGGCTCCTTGAGCTCATGGCTCGTTTCTTCAACTCGACTCAACTCAGCAGTCCTTTAAACCATAGGAGAGCGTCGCGAGGACTGCAACCAGATCGTTGTCGCCTCTACCGGCTGCAACAGCAGGTCCGCCCTTCCCGTTGTTCCAGGACATGTGGCCAAAATGTCAGCACAAAGCATGATCCTGACTCAACCTGAAACCTGCACCGTTCCAAGCTGGACACCTGCTTTTTCCAATATCCTGGAAAGCGCGCCTTGATCACGTGCCTGTGTGTAGAGCTTCGCAACGGCATCTCCAATCTCTTTGTGCACCGGTTGCTCGACCCACTCCTGACATCTGTAATTCATTCAGGGGCTGAGGGTCAACGACTGTCCCTTCGACCAAACTTGCTGTGGCAACATGCATACGCCTGCAACGCTGCGAGACAAAATCACCAAACAGCACAGATGACAGACGTTCTGCATGTGCTGGCAACTCTGCTCTTCCAGCTCCCAGCCTCATCCAAGTAGCGGGAGATCACAAACGAGAGCCAGGCAGGTTCGTCTGCATCCATATCGGGCAGGAGGACCCCAGTGACTGCGTCGGCACGGACGGCCTTGCAATCACCTGGGTCCACGGCCTGCCAAGCTAGACAGTCGCAGTTAGGAACGCATGATTTGGGAGAGCCTGCAGTAAGGGCACCTGGCGACACACCCGCGAATGGCGAAGGCGCAAGGTGACCGGGCGGTGGACAGCGGCGCCGGAGATCCAGCAGGCCACGTGAAAGAAAGCAGCGACCGAAGCAAGGGCCACAGCGAGCGGGAGCAGAGGAAGACGTGCCATGGCCGAAGGAGTCCAAAGTTCGAAGCGTTCCAGAGATCTACAGATCAAGCTAGGCCTCCTGAACTCTGATCCTGCGAAAACATGTGAGGAAGTGCCTTGCCTTGGGGTGAAAAGAGGCCGAGGCGAAAAGCAAAGAAACCGCTGCTGAAAGCACAGCCAAACAGTTCAGTTCTCAAAGGTCTTCTCTGGTGCAGCACGAGCTTCTCGCATGCACTGATGGCTGCATTGAACGTGATGACCTCCGCGCGTGGTGCGGAATGCCTCACACTGCAGAACAAAACTCAGTACGTTGAGCCTCGAAGCATATTAAGCTTGAGATCGTCTACATGCAACGGAAGGCGCAGAAGCGCCAACGCTTGCTCCCAGCACGCGCCCTTCTCGCAAGCACTGATTGCAGCATTGAAACCTGATCTGACAGCTGAATTGTCTTCAATCTGCCAAGCTATGCGGTTCAAAAGGCAGACACGCTCTGTCTGGAGCTGTGGCAGCGTAGGTCGTAGGTACTCAGGAAGCGACTCACAACATCTGGCGTCACCCCAGCGCTGGGCATGGAATCCCTTAGCTTTAATGATAACAGTGTCGGAAAACTTTCAGAAAGGAACTTGTCACGTGGAACCACTGCAGCTTAGAAACAGAAGCAACAAAGCACCCTGCCACTGCCCGCACTTCCTTGCAAGGGCACATGTGCCTTGACATGCCTGGCCAAGAAAACATTTGTCAATATGTCAGGTTCAACGAAGGCACTCACAAGCACTGATTGCCGCGTTCCAGCCTCGCTAGCAGCTGCACTACCATGTAAAGTGCGCCACCCTCTGCGTTCTAAGAGTGAGATAACCACATCAAGCCATGCAACAAATATCTGAAGGAGCCAAGCGGTCTTCAAGCAAGGACTGCAGGACGGCCAACGCTGCTTGCCACTGGCCCCCTTTCTCGCAGGCACTGATCGTGGCTCCGTAGCCTGGGTGCTGTCTACGAGTTGCTGCACAAAGCAGCGCCACCACAATGCACATTACCAGGACTTGTCGCCGGTGCGCTCACGACATCCGGGGCCAGCCGATGTTGGCTCATTGATGTCAGCAGCATCAGGGCTCGGTCCCACTCCCCCGCTTTCTCGAAGGCACTGATGACGGCATTGTGGCCTGCAAGTCTAGGAAGGTCTGTCGAATTCTGTCAAGAGCACACGAGGGCGGAGAGAAACACCGAGAGCACCAACAGCTCGAGGCAAGACAGCGGCGGGAGGAGCCCAGACGTCAAATGATGCACGACTGAGAAACCCAAGACCCAAAGGTCATTGCACACCCGCTTTCGAAGCCGAGTCACTGATTCGGTCTTGGTCAATCCTGCACTGGCCAAGCTACACCCGCCAAAGGACTCTGCACAGCAGCACTGCAGCACAGCTTGAGTCCTCGCACCACTCATGCTTGTGAAGGTCCACAGCGCCCTTGCCCAGCAGCTGGACTTGCCGCAAACACTGATAGTGGAGTTGTAGCCTCCAAGAACGTGAAGCACAATGAAGACTGCGGGGTCTGACCTATCTAACGTCATATCAAGTCCAAACATGGCCCAGCGTCTAACCGTGTTGGGCTGGGAGTTTGCCGAAAGCAAATCGAGCAGCTGCAGCGCAGTTGGCCATTGCACGCCTGGGAGAGCACAACCATGCAAAGACACTCCTGGGCACAGGGTGGCCTAGATGTGTCAGCGCAGCACTTCCGGGAACAAAGGCCAGCATGACAGCAGAGAATGTGTGATGATGGCTCAAAGTGACCACAACAACCTGAGAAAAGAGAGAAAGCCACGGATTGAAACTTGCTTCCTGTCACGTCCCTTCTTAAATTGGCCAATAAATCGAAAGGGTGCCGTTGTGTGCGATTTTTCTGTGTTCTCGAAACCTGGTATGCACACGGTACTTAAGCTTGGCAACTCCACCGTGCGGCCCGGCAGCATCTGCCACAAGCGCTGATGGCCGAGTTGAAACACACAGTGTCCAGGTCTACCTTTGCGAGCGAAGTGGTTTGAACTCAAGGAGCCTCTTATTGTGCAATAGGCCAACATCGGCACAGGCTCTGCCTTTCTTGCTTGCAGGGGGTGTGGGTGCAAGTACCCTGGCTCGCTCCACAGTCCGCGACGGCTCGTGTGTGTGGCCGCTTTCGAGGTTGGGTGTCTCCCACATTCTCCCGCCTCCGTCTCATAAGCTCCAGATATTTCACCGGGAGCTTCTACCTCGCAGAGTAGCACGCCCTAGTCAGCTGTGATAGTATTGATCCAGTCTGCTTTACCTGAAGGCGTGTTCTCTTTTCTGGGGACAGTCCCTCGCTTCCAAGTCCTGCCTTCCTTTTGCCCGTATTCCTGCCTTGTCTCTTCTCTTTGTTTCTGTCATCTTTCTGGCATTTTGATGTCGGCACCTGCCAGGTCACCCTAGAACGGCTTAGTATGCGGTACCGGAGAAACCCAGATGGGGAAACCCGGACGTTGGGGGTTCGGCGTTAAGGCTTTGGGGGTCCAGACAACGAACAATCTCGAGCTAAATCCGGAACCGTAAACACCCTCCCCCTTCGTGTTTCCAGCCTTCCTTCACGCAAGCCGAAAATCAAATCGCGCTGTCTTCTCTATCTTCCACGGCAACTACCTGCCTCAAACCGACGAGGTGACTAGGACAAACCGTGCCTATTCACTGCTGCTCTTTGTCTTAGCCGCTCCTCTTGCAACGCAGTTACAGAGGAACTGCACGCGAAGAACATGCTCAAGGCTTGTTGCCATGCCGATGCTTTCTCACAGGCACTCATAACCTCGCATCAATCTCGGTCTCCGATGCCAGAGTCAGCACTTACAACACCACGAACATACTGAGAGTTGACACATGTCAGGGCCGGACGCTGCTCAAATGAAATGCATTCACCTCAATGGCCGTCTCATGCATTCCTTGAAATACCTCCGGGAAATCATCATGCATGTCATGAAGCCGACTCGAACTGTGGGACAACATCTCGCGGTGGCCGCATGCTTTGTGCACACCCATTTGCAGGAGGGCAGCAGTTAGCACAGGACACGCTTACGGTTTCAGGCGAAGCACTGACAGCCCGTAAAGCAACTAGTTCAACGTTTCACCCTTTCCCAAGAACCGACTGCAATCCGCCTCGATCGCTTGGCTCCATCGCTTCTGGCGTGCAAGCTCTCGCAGCAGTCTCGCAGTGCTTCGGCTGCGGACCAAGGACTGGCCAGGTACCTGAACCACCAATCCATGAAAAATCTCTCTGAAAACGTATTACCTCCGTTCCGCACTACTTCCATCTGCCCCCGCTCTAATCTTCGATGTGCTGAGGCTGCGTCTGTGGCAGGCCCAATTCCTCAAGTACTTTGTCTGCAACATAGACGAGTTGTGTCACCACAACAACAACGACGACGACGATCACGACCACCACGACGTGAGGAGGCAAAAGACGTCTCGAACTCGAGGCTATCAGAGGCTCCTTCTGCACCATCGGCCTCCGGCCGGCACCTTTCCTCGACGATTGCCGCTCGAACCGAGCGCATGCTCCAAACTCCAGACATGTCCCACACATGTCCCACATGACGCAGAAAAACGGCTTGAGCTTCGGCTACAGCGGCAGATGTATAGTTGGCACAAGCATGGCAGACAACACAGCATCACAGCAAAGGCTCGGGTTACGGCCTAATTGGAGCCGCAACACCTGCCGCAGTAGTGACAGCACCCTGCTTGCAGACTTTGAATCATGCGATGTCCAACTCTGCACAGAAGATGTCCAAGCTTGAGCTTCAGTGTCAAGGAGCTTCAATAAGCAGCATCAGCATTTTATGTGGGGCAGAGGGAACTATGTCCGTGCGGCCTCCCTGCGGACAGCGATCTGTCTGGCCTGGCCAGGATCCCCAACCGCTTCACAATCTCCAAAGCAGGGAAACGACATGCACTCCGTGCCTGGAAGCTCGGGAAGCTGGGCACTGCCAGTCGAGATTTTGAGCGCCATGGTTGCTTGAGCCGTGCTCGCTCAGGACGACTGGCCAATTTCTGCCACCAACAGCCGCTCCCTCCCCCTCCTGCAAGACCTGCCTTGGTCGCTCAGAACTTTTGTGACAGAGAAGGTTTCGGAGCTAGATCTAGGCAGGTCAAGGTTGTAGGCTTGCAGATGTGCCCTATATAGGGAGCTCTGCAAGACGGAGTCTTCGAGATGTCCTAGCAGACCTCTCATTCAAACGCTGCAGTCCGCGTAAGACGGAAGGTCAGGGGACAACGATTCCATGAAACGGATGCTGAACGTCGGGGCCATCGCCTCGCTATATATAAACACAAGTTTGCATCATGACCTGTCGAAAATGGTAGGGAAACTGATGGATCCACAGGTGCGGCAAAGGATTGGTGAAGGCGATTACGTGGCAGCTTCATCCGCGAAAAATAAGAATAGGTGAACAGACCTTCCTTTAAGGAAGGCCGGATGTGCAAAGCTATCATTTGCTCAGGCCGAAAGAACCGATGAAGTCTGGTATAACGTAGACCCCTGACCAGGATTCCAACACCGAAGATTTTCGAAACGCAGCTTGCTTATATTGTCTGATCCGAGAAGGCTTGCATGTTCTTGTCTTTGCAGCCCGCGCAAGAAATGGAAGCCCACACAAGTGCAGGCTAACCCGGGCACGTAGCCGGTCTTTGTGTGTAGCACTGCGCCGTGACATGTTGAAAGGAATCACTCAAGGGTCCGGGACCAGACCGGGATCGTCTGGGCAACGAACTACATGGTACATCGCTGTAAGATGGCCCTGATCTCCACGTCTCTGATGGAACCTTAGGAGCTCGTCGTTGCCCGCTTGCAGTGCGCATGATTTGTCCAACCTGCATTAAGTGTCTGATGTGTGGGCCAAAATGCTCGCTTTATGTGGCGAGAAGGTAACCGAAATCTTGGTGAGAATATGGCGAATCGCTGCCTTCCGAGCACAGAGCACAAAATCGCTTCACAACATCTTACAACTCGCCGCCGCCACCTCGATCTCACTCAGCTCGATCTGCTCGACAGCAAAAATCTGCATGTCCTTCGTTTGACTTCGAGCCGGACTATGACAGTCCAAGCAACCTGAAAGATATCGGACGGGGCATTCCACGGCAGTCCATAAAGCCATAATTCCATATTTAATATTTCCAGCCGTCTACAGCAAAACAAAACAAGGAAACGACGGGCCCCAATGAGCAACATCAGAGATGTACTTCTCAAAGACCGCTGGAGAACCAGCTCCAGCCGGCAAATCCGGCCGCTGCAGGTGCCAGAAACGGGGGTGCACGCAGACAACGCCCAGGATGGGGTTTTTTGAGGATGAGACTGTGGTTGGGGCTTGGAATCATCAATCTGAGCAGGACGTCGATGATGATGATGATGGCTGTGGTGATCACGACAATCATGATGCGTGTGGGGATGAAGATTGCTACAAGGGGTGACTGCGACGGCGACGGCCGTTGTTCCTCTTTCGAGTATGCGAAACAGATAATAGAGTTTGGTTGAAGCCAAGCGCTGCTCGGCTTACCGCTCCTGCGCCCGAACCCTTTGTTTCTTCCACCCTCCGGTCACTTGCAAGTACTGCCTGGTATTCTCGCCTAGCAGGGCTTCTAAGGTCAAAGCTCGGAAGATTAAAGTCAAGTACCTTTTGGCTGGTGGGTTTGCGGTCCATCCTGCTTGCGAAGCCGAGTTTGGAATCAGATGGGAGACTGTAACAGCTGCGTCTGCTTTGACGCCCTGACTCGCTCGTGGAAACGGGTGCTGAAAAGGTGCTGTCTCTGAGAAGAAGGCGCCGTAGCTAAGATCGGCGAGGAAGTCCTGAGTCTGTGGAGTTCTCTAGGCTCCACTGGCATCAGGCAGGGCCTCATCTGGATATTCGAACTTCATGTCGGGCTTTTGGATCTCCACTGGAACCTGGTCAGCTTAGGAAGATAGCAAGCCACACCCGGAACTTTCGACGATGCATGAAGACAGGCACCATGATGCACTATCTCAGAAAAGCAGGCTGAGCTGGTGACGATGTTCTTACCCTGCTTGAAAGCCTCACACTTGATGCGTGCCAAGCTCCGCACACTCATCAGAAGTTGACGGAGATCTTACACTGGCCAAGGCACAGAAACCATCTCTACCAAACACCAAGGGCGTTCGAAAATTCCAGGCGTCAGTAAAATTACCATATTCTTGCTCTTGTGGATATGATCTCTCAGTTTTGTCAGATCTTCGAGATTCTCCTGAGTTGCCGCGGGCAGGATAATGTCACTATAATTTCATCGCAAGACGCAGACCGACGTGTCCGTTCTCCCGGCCAGATAGTATTTGTGCGAGTCTCTGAATCCAGGAACACTGGATGTTCGAGATAATGAGCAGGATGGTGCGGATCTGTTTGGATCTTGTTCCTTGGATGGTGGAAGATGGAGGGAAGGGCCACATCGGAGTCAAGCTGTCATTGTCGACTCGACCCCTGTGAGGCCCTTACATTAAAGCATCCTGCATGAGAGCCGCCTCCGTCCCAGCTTCCTGCGCAAGCAATTCACACTTGTGTCATTCAATAACCGTCACCTCTGCTTCTCTGAAGAAGCTGAAGACCTGAAGACATGCTCTGGGGCAAGGATACTCTGTCCAAAATTGCTCCCCTGCAGCACATGCGACGTCATTGATCCCTTTCGTAACATGCTCTGGACAACAAGGGACAAGCTACGCTCGCTTTGTGAAATTGGCAGGCAGAAGCCGGACAATCAGTTATGGTCCTTCTTGAAATGCGACAGGAATATCATGTGCCCGGATGTGAGGAATCGGGCTGTGACCTCCACACAGCGGGTGTAACCTTGTGTAACTCAAAACTTTTTGCAACGCGACATGAATTCCACCCGCGGCCTTGCGCAATTGAGTGAAGTCGATCTCCAAGGGCGTGAGATCCGTACAATCATTTCGTACATGGTGTAACTGAATCACCACCAAGCGCCCAAAGGCAACGGCGGTTCGATGAGCTTCTGGGTATGCCGCCAAAATGTTTCCGAGCACATCTGCCGACACTGTGTAGTAGTAACCGCTCTGCAGGACCTGCCCAAGCGCGTCACATGAAATTGGCTTAGGAAAATTGCTTTCGAGACGCGAAGTCTCCGGCCTGCAGTGTGCCAGTGTGAAGCCAATTGGTCCAAAGCGCTATTTCACAGATTGCGCGCGCAGGTCCCACCGGGGTGGATCTGGCCCTGAGGCTTCTTGGTGCAAGAAGTTGCCCGAGGTGTCCCAACAACGTGTGCTTCCTTCGGGGTCAGGTGCTTGCATATACTCGGTGTAAGTGCCTGGCGACAAGCGATACCGTGTTGCCTACAGAATCCAAGACTAGCCTGACTGTATTGCATCACGGGTCCTGGCCAGCTTGTAGCTGTACCTTCAAAGCATCGAACGCAGGGGTACAAGCTGCTCTTGGCAGCGGCTGCCCGACATCGGGTAGATTGATTTTGCAGCATCACACACTAGTCGTTTGCATCCGAGCTGCATCCCTGATACAAGGCACAGCATGGAGGTGGCGTGATGTCCGTTCGAGAATATCACTTCTTGCCGTTGTGCAACAACCTGCGTCGTCGGAGTGCATGACATACATTGCAAACACGACACACGATCGAGGTGGGTCTCGGCATTTTTTGTAATCCCTATGACAGTGTGGGGCATCACACAGCTAAACGGCAAGATTAAGCCTTGCATAACACTGACCAACGAAAACAAACCTCACAGCTTTCGCGCCGGGCCTCGACGAGCCCTTCGCAACAGAGGTGCCGAAAACACGGTCGAAAACGCTCCTGCAACCACAGGAGCAACATCAGAATTGACAACTCGGCTAAGCCTTCTAAGCACGCAATTGGGTCCAGCCGTCCTGGTACTCCAACAAGAAAGCACTTTTGACAAGAAATGGTCCACGAGACTCTTCGTACAAGTCCGTCTGCAAGCGCTTGGGCATTTTCGAAAACAGCGCCAGCTCCTCGTGACAGAGCAGATAAGACAAGACCGAAAGGACAGAAAGGGAGCCGTTTACCTCGAGAGGAACTGGCTGATATACACACATACATACATACATATATATATATATATATATATATGTATACATATATGTATATGTATACTGTATACATATATAGGTATATCACTCTTCGACTCAGGAGCTCCTCCTGAAGTTTGCTTTCCAACCACGACTGCTGGTAGCAGGAAATCACAAACTTCTTCATCCTCACCGAAAGGTCCGTTGATATGGAGTGCGTTTCCAGGAAGTGATTGCAAACATCTTGCAAGTTGTTCAGTCTGGAGTCGACGTACTGCTGCACCAGAAATGCAATCCTTGCTAAGAATATGGATGTGCCAACGAAGCCGATCAAGCGGGCCAATGCAGCTATGACCTGGTCTGTTTGTGAATCGATCAGGTCAATTTCACACCAGAGCAAGAAGTCCAAAGCCCAGTGGATCGAGATCAAGTAAGCATGCGTAGTGTCAGACATCTCTCCAATAAGGACACCATGCTGCGCAAAGTGGTCCCTACCCGTGGAAGTAGACGTCCTCAGGAAGAGCCAGAAGCAAGCGAGCATGTGCAGGCCAGCGAGGTAGGCCAAGCATGTCTTGAACACCGAGATGTTCACTGTTAGAACCTGCCACACAACATCAGCAAGCGCTTGAAGTTCCGTCTGTGCTTTACTTACTTATCGGAATGCATGAGCAAGATCGAACATCAGAGAGGACACCCGGAATCTTTAGAACTGGTACCCTGCCACGCCTTGGCCCGCTCGAAGAGTATCTCGTTTAGCATTGAATGGAGTCTTTTGAAGCGCAGCATCTTCACAAGCCGGAAGAAGCGAAAGCTGCGCAGCAAGGAAACAGTCGACGGCGTGATCTGTTGTGTAATGACCGCCACGTACTCAACAATGACCACACTCAAATCGAGTAGCAGCCATGACTTGGCATACTCTCGTGCTATCGTCCTGAAATCCATGTGCAGCCGCCCTTCGACATAAACACCTGTGCGGAAGCTCAGGAAGATGTCCAGCGTCCAAATGAACATCAGACACCATGCGAGAAGAGGCCGATTGTAAATGGAAATTTCGCTGGAGAGCTCAAGCGGAACTGTTATAAATTCGAACGTCCATGCCAAGAATGTCAGCACCGTCCATGCCTAAGTTCCGAACCATGCGGCGTCTCAAACTCAATAAAAGCTTGCAACGGAAAAACTTGCAGAGCAGAATGAAGCAAAGCAGGGGGGCCAATCTTGCGTTTGAATGCGGATGGATGCTGCACAGCTTGTACCGACCGCCTGGACCTGCACAAGGGACTTAGATGCAGACTACGAGAGAAACTCTACGCCGTTAGGCGCGCCTTCCGGTTGCGGATTTGGCTCATAATCCATCGATGCTGAAGCCAAAGATCTCGATGCACGCATGTTGTCCCCATCGTAATCACGAAGTTCTCGCGGCGTCAAAGTACTCGAGGCCGTGCTGTTCCACCGCGGATGAAGGTTGAACCTGACAGCCCACGCAGCTCAACAGGACATACGACACAATCTTTCTTCAGTTGGTCCCGATCATTTCCCAAGCAGGAAGCAATTGAAAGCACATTAAGGACATGTTGTCGGCGACTTCCTGGGCCGCTAAGTTTTCGGCAGAGTCACATGGGGACATCACTGTCCATCAAAAGGCGCGTCGTAATGTCTGCCCAGTTCAGCACGACTCTGTTGGCCGTGGTTTCCGACAAAGTTGTGACGGTTCCTGCAAAAGCTGACTCCCCAAGTTCAGCAGCATCTAAGCTGACGTCGGGAAATCCAACCCGCCTTGTGAGACCATGGAGGAGGCCGTGGAGCTGGCCCGCAGTTGGCTTGCAGCCACTGCTCTGGCTGCTGCCTGCACCACCTGCGTCCGATGCAAGTTCGGAAATCGACTGCTGAAACGACAAGTGGGAGGAATGCTAGTGGTCACTGCGCCTCGTCGGACCCTTGTTCCCCAAGGGCCTCGGTCACATGCCATCAGAAGCACGAGAGGGCCAGGAGCACTTCTCCGGAAATATCCGAAAGGTTTCCGCTCAAGCCCTCATAAAGCTTCGCATGGAGAAATGAAATATTGCGGTTGGGGCTGTCCGGCTGGTTGTTCGTAGTCGGACGACATCGTTCACCAAGCCCCTCAGAACTTTAGGATACTATGCATGCCATCCGCCTGGCTCCTGGTTGCAACGGGTGACCTTTGAAAAAGTGGCCGGCGCATATCGCTTCGGTTATCGGCGCTTCAGAAATGTAAAAGATGGGCCCGTGCCTTTGAGAAGCAGCCAAGATTCAGGATAGAACGAGCTGCCAGTATCGGGCATTATCGGGCATTGGCTCTTGGCACTTTCCCTCGAACCGGGTCAAGCCCTGGTCCTAAGTTGTTCTACAGATCTGAAGGGAAGTCGGGTGTGCGCCTCGGAGTGTCAAGGAGGTTGGCATCTTTGGTCGCTGATCCCACCTTCATCCTGCCTGTACTGACAGCCAACACCAGGACCATTGTTTGAGACTGTCTTGCTTTTGCGTTGGTGACATGCATGCGCATGTCAGTGTTCGCCACGATAAGGTCGACACATCAGCAACACGCACTATCTCGCTGGCCCACGGTTGGCATCCGTTGACGATATCGGTAACTGCATGCAGCGTATGCTGGCTTAATACTACAGGATACTGACATATTGATGTCCGCAACATACTTGAAAAATTATATGTCTCGCTGACGCGACGGACAAGAACTACACACACACCCTTGGGTGCCGAAATCGCAGAAAGTAGCAGGCTGCGATCTTTGGCCCCGGCTGCAATGGCACGCACTCTCGACCGTCGCGAAGCTCTGGAGCTCATGTAGCTGCTGATACTGGTCACCCTCTCAACTGCAGCTTCACCACTGCATTTCGGGGGCTGTGGTTGCAGAGTGGACTGCCCTGGAAGAGTACTGCGTGACCTCAAGCGGCAACTCCAGGGCGATCCAAATAGCTGACGCGCTGAAAAACAAAGCACAGTTTCTGAGCTCAGCACCAAGGTCCGTCCGACAAGGCCAATGAAGATGTCAATATCGGCGACATGAATTCTTGCTCACGTGTTGGCTTCTTGCTACCTGTACGAAACAAACAGATCCCAGTGTAACGTGCAGTTGCAACTTCCCCGGCGACAAATGTCAACTGGGGATGCAGCCGGCAGATGATCCCCCAGAACCCAAAAACCATCCCATCTCGCGCTCATGCGCTCGCAGCAGCTGCTCCTTCCCAAAACATCACTCAAGCCAACCATCCTGCAAACCTACACAGATGATGTTCGCTGCCGGCACAAATGAGAACACATGAATGCTGACACCAAATCAGCTAGTGATACCCATTCCCACATCCTTGAAATGGACTAGCATCACGTCAACATGCTCGTCGAATGTCTTGCGCCGCCGATCATCAGGAACACCTTCATCCACATGTGCAATGTTTCATATGTTCACTTCCTTGCATACTCCGGGAACCGGTTCGCGTCTGAGCACGGTACCCGAAGACTGATTTGTGGTCGCACGTCTTGTCATTCTTTGTCACTCGAAGCTGTACCAAACCCTGTGTGGAATTACCTGGATGTGGGTGCCCATGTAGCGGGGGACTGATACTCAACAGTTCTGTGTATAGCATATTCACGTGCTTGCTGAAAAAAAAGGATAACTATGCCACAACATCTAAATTAATCAAATTCATACTTGCGGCCCTTGTGGTTGCCGATCTGCACACACATCACGCCTTGAGCCATGAGCCATGCATATAGTTCTGCAACTGTCACCTTCCGGTGGGCATCGTCCCATCGACTACGGGACGTTCTGCAAGGACAACGTGCAAGCGCAGTGCCTGCATTGTAAATGCCAGACAATTTGTAAATGCCAGACAGTTAGATGCATGTGTCTGTAACATACATGACTTACGAAACAATTAACACAATTAATACACGTGATACTTCATGCACCCATTGCTGACTCCGAGATGCAAAGGCGGATTTGCTACAATACAATGACGAATTTCGGTTTGTTTCTGGACCACTCACCAGTCCGAGGCTCCCACAAACGCTTACGTACTGCATACGGCGGTGGGATCATGCGATTCAGTTCCGCAGGATCAAGACCGGGTGAGAACGGGTGGAACTAGAAGGCCGCCGATAAAACCTTGGCTGCATGTTGTTTTTTCGATGCCCTTTGAAAACTTTCACGAACGTCCAGCACGAAATGGCTCCAGCCTACACCCCCCCGACGCAGGCATCTGCGAACTACATGGCTTCGGGATGGAGGTCATGTAACACTACAGGGTTCAACAGGAGCAGTACACAGCTTCGAACCTATGCGGTCTACGTCGCACAGCAGCGGGGAATCGCAGTCGATGTGGGTGCAGCGAATCGTGCTGGAGTATAACGGAAGCGAAACTAGAATCTTGTTGGGACTGGCCGGAGATGCGCACCCTTTCCGTTGGCTGCGCTTGCTCCTTCTAGTCGACATGCTGAATGGATCTATTGCAGTAGGAGAGGACCTCGGTTCTGATGAAAGCTTCCGTGCTGTACGACGGCAGTGTGGCATCGTGTGGTCGTAGCATCTTGCCGTTGCGCGTCGTGGTTCGAGTCTTGCGTGGGTTGAGGGGTTGGTTTACTTTCGCAACACAGGTCGGTCGGTGTTAATCTGGTTTCATTGACCGAAAGCGGCTAGCAGCTAGCAGCCAACATTGCGATTTTTTCCCGACGAACCTGTCGTGAGCATCGGATATGGCATGCCAAAGCATGCCCATAAAAAGGGTGCCATAATGCGCCATACCGTTTCGCAACGGGGAAGGGAAGCTTGCAGCAACGGTGCAAGCGCCGCGAAAACAGCAAGTCAAGACATCCGTGGCAACAACAAAAATGTTTGGTCCGCCGGCAGGGGCTGGGCGACCAAGATGCCTGGCAAAGGTCGCAACTTCAGTGTTCCAGCCGACGTCGGAGCTGGAGCGCGAAAACAACGAGATTGCACATAGCTGTTGGGAAGTGTTGCACATGACGTGGTTGGCCCGTGCGCTGCATCTTGCCACTCGTCACTTTCGTTCTAGCTCGTTGAAGCGCTCGGCGAAAACATTCAATACGAAGTGTGACATGTGTCCGAGGCACCACCCGCACAGGAAGTTTATCAAACACGATTCGAACAGTTGCGCTGTAGTTCCATGCTAGCATTCCAAGTTTCAGGATTTACATAGCTGACGAACGCAACCCGACACCGAGCGATGAGCACTGTTTGTTTCATGTCTCGGTTTGTTCGCTGGTTTCACACACCACCGGCTGTTGCAGACTGTTGCAATCCCACTGCTCCAAGAACCAACCCACACAACCACACACTAAGACTGCTTCACGACCGTTGTTTCGTGATGTGTGCGTGGCGACAGCAGCGAAGGCGGTGGTAAGATTGGCCGATACACCGTGACGGCGCATAAACCAGTGGGGCGACTACGCACAGGCATATCCGCGCACCGGTTTGCTGGCTGGACGCGAAGTTGGTCGAGCGAGCTTGGCCTGCAGTTTGCCGTGAGGCCGCCGTGGCCGAAGGGCACGTGGTCCCGCAAGAGTGGCTGGCGCACATGTCGGTAACCAGGTGGGCCGTCAACTGGCCCGGCGACTTGACCTGGACCTGGTCGTTTACTGCGCCTCGCCCTAGGGTCTGGCGCTGTGCTGCGATGCCACGCTCGTTAGCCCTGTGACAGGCGAAGGCGTGCCCCATCTGCGGGCTGCTTTCACGCTCGGCGTGGCTCTGCGCACCGCCGAAAACCGCAAGCTTGCCACCTACCCCGAGCTGCGGTGCGGAGGAGCCTAATGACTTGGCGTCCTGGCTGGGAATTCGGAGGCGGCTGGAACGCGGACGCGCGCGAGCTGGTGCGGCGACTCGTTCTCGGTCAAAGGGCGCGGCCGCGAGCCAGGCTCCAGCGTGCGGACCCGACTGGGAAAGTAGCAGCACCTGCTGAGCCGGCTCCAGGGTAAGCAGACGCACGCGGTCGCGGAAGCAGCGAGTATGCGATGCCATGTGCACGAAGGTCGCCCATTTGTTTTTCAACACACCTCTTTTCGATGCGTCGCTCGTCCTGGCGGACAGGGACCACCTTCAGATCACGCACCGGCGCATGCATCGCGACAGTGGCGCCCGCCCCCCGGCACACTTTACCGCGACACGCCAGACCGGGGGCAAGCAGCAAGGTGATCGCCGAAGGCATCATGCGGTTGGCGACACCGGCATCTCGCTGTAGTCAGCGGGAGTGGCGGGCGGAGCCGGCGCAGCAGGAGAGCTCGGAACAACGGGAATTCGAGGGTCAGCTCAAGCGAAGTGGGCCGTGCAGTGCAAGACGCGGGCTGCGTACGGTCCTGCTTGTGACTCGAACAGGGCGGCGGAGGAGGCATCGAGTTCACGCAACACGGCTCGCTGGCAGAAGCCGTCGAAGGCCTGGGATGCGGCACGCTGCCAGCCACGAGTGGTGTCAAGCTGTGGCTCGTCGTCGACGAGCCGGTGCGGCTCCTCTCCGTGAAGCAGTCGTGCCAGGACGGGGGTTCGAAGCCAACGGCGGACAGAAAGTCGCGGGCAAGTTTGAAGCGGCAGCAACTCAGCTCGCTTGCTGTTTCCAAGCCCGGCGGTCGCGTTTGAGCATGGCTGGGAGACTATCGGCCCAGGATGCCCAAGAGGCCGCTGGCGCATGACGGAGTGCGCTGCGCAGGCCGAGGCCGCCATGGCGCAAGGCCAATTGCACACGAGCGGCGACTTGCCCAGGTGATCCCTCAGCGGCATCAGCGATGCGTCATGCTCGTGCGTATTGGCACTGGGGAGCGTGCGGAGAGCATACTGCGTCCGTGGGAATGCGCAGCAACACACCAGCAGCCACCCGACCTGTGTGTCGTGTAGGTTTCGGCAGTTGGTTGAGGAGAGTGGCCTGCTGCTCCAGAGCGTGCTGCAACTGTGCCTGCACGAACTCGGGCGTGCCGAACGGTGCTCCCAGCAAAACGAGCCCACGTTGGGCAGCCGCGAGCGACGACTCCCCAAACCAAATCCGGGCAGTGGTTGATAGGGCATGCAGGCCATCGGGAGCGACTCCAGTTCCACCATGCCAGATGGCTGTTCTAAACAAGTTCAAGCAGAGACGTGTGTGCAATGCGAGGTGGTGCTCAAAGCGTTGGATGGGATCCAAGGCTCGCTGCGGCCTGGCCAGGGTACGTAGTAACCTCATCCAAGTATGCAAAGACGCGTTCGCCAAGCTCGGGCCGAACATCAAGCTGCAGATCCCGCAAAGCTGCACGCAAGGAAAAGCTGAACAGTGCTGGGCTCAGGGGGTCACACTGTTCGACTCCCCCACCTTGCTGCAGGTGCCGCGTGCGCGCGCCTTGCTGCCAACAGTAGGTGGACGTGCGACCCAACCACAAGCGCACGAACGGCAACAGCGCCGACGCCTCGGGGACCCCCGTTAGGTCCCGCAACACCGTTTGTCGGCTCATGCCGTCATAGGCGGCAGCGGCATCACGGGACACAACTGTGAGCTGGGGATCAGCTGCACAACGAGCCTGCACTTCATGGATCAGGGCCTCGGCCCCGACGCGACTTCCCATCGCGTACTGGTTTGGGTGGCACGCTTCTTGCAAGCGGGGCCGCAAGCTGCTTTCCAACAGGTCCAAATCGCAGTAAGGAGACTGCAAGCGAGAGGCGTGTCCGGAAACGACCATGGGTCACGGTCACAGAGCAACTACGACAAACGTGCTGGTTCGTCAACCACCACGAACAAGCCAAGAACAACCAAACAAACAAACCAACACCCAAAACAAAGTCTGGAACCAGCCTCCAGTCCACAAGAAAAGGGCAAATACTAAGGGCATGGATGATGCTCCAACCGGCGGAGCCGCATAGACAAGGGTGATCCAAGTTGCGATGACCGAAACACAGCATAACACGGCCATCCAAGAAGGGATGGTGACCACACCTGGGGAGTGTCCACCACCAAGGAGGGCAGGAGAGATGCATGGATGCAGTCCTCGACGATGTCAAGATCGCCGACGCACAGTGTCGCGCGCACTGTTCGCGTCGCTGACATGAACATTGATGTGCCGGCCAGCGACGCCAGGAGGATCGAGGTCGTGTGCACGGCCTATACCCCTTTGGCACCGAGCTCTCAGCTCGCCGTTGATGCGACTCTCGTCTCCCCGCTCACGCGCAGCGGCCTGCCGCAGCCCGCGGCCGGTGCGCAACCGGGCGTTGCGTTGGGCCGGGCGGCGCCTCAAGCACCGGCACACCTACCCGGAGTTGCTATGCGCCCGCCGTTGCCGCCTGGTCGTTTTCGGCAGTGAATCTGGTGGGCGCTGGAAGCCGCGACCTTCCTCGGTGTTGTCGCCCAGGCCTGCGCAACCAGCGCACCTGTCGCCGTGCGCCGCGCTGCTCAAGCCGCTTGGGTGTACCGTTGGAATGGCATCCTCTCTGTTGCCGTGTGGGGCGCGTTCGCCAGTTCGCTGCTCGAGCTTCCTGCTGCCGCAGAGCTCGGTGCTGCTGGTGACCCACCCGCT